ATAATAAAATTTTTCTTCTTAATGACCTCAACTTTATTCTTCCTGTGTGGATAGCATGCACACATTAAAAAATGGATGCACTAAGTATGTTTGAAAGGAAACCAGAAATATTTATGTCATCCACTGTGTGGTGGATGGACGGTCTAGTCACTGGTCCTCAAATCTGGAGAGAAGGACCACCAGGGTGAGTGTGTTAATGCTGCCTCCAGACTCATTCTGCCCTGGATCTCCTTTCTGCAGGGCCTGCTGCTGGCTGGCAGACCTCCAGAATGGACTGGAGCCCATTAACTTGATAAAACCAGCAAACACATCCAGAAGCAACGAAGAGAGAAAAGCACAATCAAGACTTGGCCTCATCTAGTGTTCATGGTGCTTAAAATCATACATTCTGCTTGACAGAAGAAATAACCTATGCACAAAACCTCTACCATCCCAGATCAAGAAATGAGTCAACATCTATTTAGCACAAGCACAATAAGTAAAACTCACCTGGTTTCCCCTCTGCTTTCTTTTAAAACCATCATCCCTGGCCAGAACGGACAAAATATCTGCCATTTTAATCTCAGAAACACTGTAAAAGGAAGGGCATATCAAAGTAAATTTTCTATTCCTCTAAAAACACCCCAAACCTAGAGCATAAAACTGGTCCATTCTCAAGCTAATTAAAATAGGAGCAACGCCTTCCTAAGGAAGGGGATATTTTCTCAAACCTTTAGGTATTTGGAAGGAAGAGGAGGGACCACTACAGCATTGCAGAGACAGATCAGGCAATAGTTTCAACGATTTCCTTCCACTTCGATGAATTTAAAGTAGGTTACATTTAGTATTATTACGATTATTATTATTAGTATTTGGCAGTGCTGAAGTTTGAACTCAGGCCCTTGCCAGGCAAACATTCTACCACTTAAGCCACACCTCAAGTCCTAAAACAGGTTTCACTTAGAATTTCCTTTATGGACATTCATGTCACTTCCTAAATCCTGAACACTAAGCAAGTAGGCTTGCTTACTCATGTGCTACCTTGAGTTGAAGAGATGAAGGAACAGACACTCTATACACAGTATGTTTAGTTTTATTCTTATAAAAGAAAGAAGGTGGCAGAAGACTCTCCACTGCTGGGGCAAACACCTTGGTGAAGACAGCAAGTGACTCAGCCCTGTGCACATCGCCTCTGCTCTCTTCCTCTCCCCTGTGACTCTTCAGTATTCTGTCTCTTCACTATTAAGGACTGAGGACAAATGACCTCCAATGAATCTATGGCTATAAGCAAACTGCTGAAGCCAGAGTTGGGGCTTGTGAACAGAAGCCACCAGGATGAGTCTGGAGAGCCTACACTGATCCATGTTTAGAGCCAGCGGAGGAAATGTGAGCTGCTAAAACAATATTTTCAGGGAGAAAGGGAACATTCCAGGGGAGAAAAACAATCATAAAAAAATGACTTCGTTGTATTTTTAAAACAATGTAAGCACGTTTCAAACACAAATGGTTACCTCTTCTATGGGAAAAAAAGCTCTCTCTCTTCCCCAAAGGTTATGCTGACAAGGCTGTGAATCAAGTGCTGGGTCTGACAGCCACTTACCTGGGTTATCATCTCCTCCTAAGAACCCAGCCTTTAAGCCTTAGCACTCTCAGCTGCCAAATCCCAGTCCCACGGATGAGCCAAGTCTCTTTACAGCAGGAAGAGGCAGTAGCCAAAGGTGGAGAGTCTGGGAAGGGCATGCCCAGGATCCCCTGGGATTTCCCATTGTCACGGGAATGAGAGGAATGTACGAAGGCTAAATCTGCCTCTCCCACCTAGAAACCCCAACGTGCAAACATGGGCCAGGCCCATGTCTTTCTCTACCACATTTGCTTCCTGTTTGTCACCCTTTTCCTTGAGAAAAAAGGAGGAATAATATGAACGGAAAACAATTATAAGAGCCTACAGTGGAGAAAATAATGCCATTCACAGCCAGGAATACAAAAACCCAAATGAGCCTCAGAAGGGCACTCACACCACAGGGAGTGCTGCAAACCAGCCAGGGCAGGTGCCAAGGCTATGAGCCCGGGCCAATGTTGGGGGACCACGTGCCCTAAGCAAATAGGAACCGAGAATAAAGTGGAGTGATTTACAGTTTAAAAGGGCCTCCTTCTAGTTCTAAGAAATCATTGCTTGTGAGGAACAAAGCAAATCTACTGTGATTATTTATGGTTCTATCAACAGATTTGAATCACCCCACCTTGCTAGGGAAAGAGATAGAAAAATAAATAAATTCAGGGAACTGTCTTATGCCCCATCTAAGAAATGTGTGTTTCGATGAGGTATTTACATTTTAATAAACCATCAATGGCTTTCGTTAGCAACACATTTAGAGGGGAAGTAGAAAAAGTTCAGGAGCTGGCAAACACAAAGAAGTCAAAAGGACACAGAAGCAAAAGCAATGGCACAGGGCACCTGTCTCTTGCCCGGTCTGCTAAATTAAATTGTCAGGGTGAGGTCCACAGCGCCCGCACATGAAGGCAGGCGGCAATTTGTTGTGATGCCCTTGCTGCAGAGAGCCTCGGCCTGCCTTCCTGAATCTTCCCTGCAATTCATCAGCCACTCAGCATCCTGCTGCCTGGCTCTTGTGTTCTGAGGCACAAAACATGCACACTTCCTCCTTTGCCTCCTTCTTTTATTACTGAGTGTACCCCCCTTAGATTCTATAAATGTTGCATATTCTGCAACTAATTCTTATTAGAGTTTATTTTGTATCATGTTAAAGATATGGTTTATACAGGAGATACAGAATGTACAGCCTTTCCTCAAAGAGAAAAAACTGTGATGCATGGCTATCATGTAATAACCCAGGTTCCAATACCACCTCCAGCCACAGACATGTGAGTGTTCAGTGTAGATGGCAGCAAGGGGGGCTCACACAGGACCCCCCAAAGACTCACTCTCCAAAGACTTTGCTTCCTTCTAGAGTTTTCCCAAGATCATCCTTCTCAACCTCCTTGCCAAGACCAAGGCGCTGCTTCCTAAGGGTCTTCATTTTTACACACTCATGTTTAATCTCATGAAAGTACTAGCAATTGTTTTTATAACTGTTCTCAGATCATCAGAGGACAACAGTATTTGTTATGTCTTTAAAATATACCAAGCTCACTAATAATTCCCTTCTGTGCTAATCATTAGATTCATGTCTGAAACTTTCACGACAATCAACTCGAATGTGTTTATCAAATAAAAATTAGGTAATAGAGAGACAGAGGCACCTACACTGTCTAGCGCTGGCACTAGACAAGCGTCCTGAGACTTCTAACTGTGGTGCCTCCTTTTGAGGAGGAGATCATGCCAAGGTGAGTGGGCATGGAGAGCATCCACAGCAGATGATGGGAAGGGATGCGACAAGGGACCTGGAGGTCTAGCCCTGGAGGAGGAGGAAAGGAGCTGTGAAGTGATCAACAGGCTGCTAGGGTGCAGTGTCCAAATGTTCTACTGTGGCTGAAAACCACTGTGGTGTCCAGCACAGAATTCTGGAAATGCTTTCTGTGAGTACATAAATCCCTATAATAAAATCTTTTGCCAGTATTATGACACTCCCAGCCTATGAGAGACAGCAAGGGAAAAAGAGAGAATTGGCTCTATCAGTGGCTTCCATCTCAACTTGCCAGTACCTCTGGGACACTGTCAGGCCACAAAGAGGAGTGCCAGGCAGCCTCAGTCTTGGGGACTTAAGAGTCCAGCTGGAGACACAGCTGGGAACGAGAGATCAACTAATTTACATAAAGATTTCTCTCATAAGTAAGATAAAATGTGCACATCTTCCTGAAACAAATAAAAACTGCTCTTTTCAATTGACAGTTTGTACTAAAGAACAAGTTAAATAAAAGGAAATCCCAAACTATCTTTATTGTGTCCCATCTGAAATTATCACCAGGAGGAAGGTCCTGCCTCCCCCAACACCAAAGAAAAAGAAGGGAGGTGCATTCTGGAACAAGTGTCAGTCCACAAAGAACCCTGAGAGGGTGTGCATGCATGGAATTACCACAATCAACACCCTCCTATTTTTAATGTCTGCTAATTCAAAAATAAAATTAAAAAGCAACAGCAGCAGTTTCGAAAGAGTTGGAAGGTTTCATCACTGGCCTGTGAGAGCAAGGAAGCTGAGAAGTGGGCGAAAGCTGCTGGGATAGCCATGAGCTCTGCAGTTAGTCCTCCTGCCACCCCCAGACCAGGTCTCCTGTCTGCCTGATATGTCATTTCCAATGTGTAATACCATGTTTTTCTCCAGCTGTGTACTTTAGAGGAAAACACTTCGTGAGCTTTATTTGACTTTTTACATAAGATAACAGGGCTGGGCAAGGAGGGAAGTAAGAAACCAGATCATCACACTCAGCAGAACAGTGAGGATGTGTGCTCACAACACAGCATGGGTTCCCAGCACTTGAGTGGCCATTGCTGCTTCTGGGCCCAGGAGGTCCGACCACCACAGGCAAACATTGGCTCCTCCTCTGCTTCTGAAAATACTTTTACCTATTACTGTGCTGTGTCTGAGGAGAAGACACTCTCTAAAGTAGACCTGTGACCAAAACTGGATGCCTTTAGAAGTTCATTATTGGAACCTGCAATTTCAGGTACCAGAGAATTTATGGAAGACAAAACAAAACCATCTCCAAACTCAGGCACATCATTTCTTTGTGGGTTTTCCTGCCACAACTATGGGCTTTCTGCAGAGGCGTAAGAGTTCGCTACCTAACTGTGCCACACATAAGATGGCAGCTGGGAAGTATGGGCTGCAGACATGTACTCAGCACGTTATTTTGACTACCTTGAAGGCTACCCCCAACTCCTGGATTATTTTCCTGGGGGAAGGGAATTGTGTGATGAGTAAAATTGTTTAAAAAGGCCAATTCTGAAGTTACTAAACGTTAACTGCAAGAAATAAAAATTGTGAATCAAAAGGACTTTGAGAAGCTGGCTGGTGAGGGTAGTGCGTTCTCACTTTAGCATAAGGGAAATGAAACACAGACTTCTATCTTAAAGTGCAACAGATTGTCCCATGACTTAGCAATGCAATGAAAACTGTCAGGTGCTGATGGCATTAAGGGTTTTAGTTTTTGCCATTGGCTATTCTGGGACTCATTTAGGGATCACAAGGGTTAATGGCTCTTCGGCAGCTTACAAGGCCCATCCACAGTAAAAAGCGACAGAAAGTTAATTAGGTGAGATCAGCTGAAACCCCGTTCAGGTTTCTGACTCACTTGATTTTGTGAGAAGCCAACGAGTTGACATATTCTGCCTCCGAAGGAGCCAAAATGAGCAGGCTGCTCCCACGGCAGCCAATCCGGGCAGTTCTTCCAATCCGGTGGATGTATTCTGCAGGCGAAGATGGAGCGCTGTACTAAAAAGGGTAACAAAAAATGAAGGCATTCATAGATCAAGGGATTGCCATTAATTAGAAGTGCAATACCTCTCACCTGCCTCCAGGTATCCCAAGAATTAGATCCTGGTGCTATGGTTGCTCTAACACAATGACAAGGAGAAGTCACTCAACCCAAAACTCCTGGCGTCACTGAAGTAACAAGGCTCTGACATGCAAATGTGAACGGTGGCCAAGCGTCAAATAAGCGAGACATCGTCTCATCCCAGTATCTCCTTTTTAATTTTACTTCTCCACAGGTTTCTTCATTTTCCTATTTGCATCTTTTCACCAAGGTGACTGTACAAGGTGAAAATGCAGGCAGGTGGGGTAAACTTCTCCAGGATGACCACATGACCTTGGCCTACTTCCCTGGTAGACAAATCAGCAGGGATGAGGCAAAAAAGGACTCTGGGCAGTACAAAGATGAAGGGGGCCAATGATGTGCTGGCAGAGTCCACCTCTGCTGCTGGCCCAGGGAGCAAGCCCCATCACCTGGCTGCAGTTCCACTCAGTCCCAAGCGGGTGCAGCAGCAAGGAGGTTGTGAGGCAGGCTCCCTGCAGGCAGGGACAGACTTCTGCTCCAGGGAGAGCATTCCTGACTCAGGGAAAAGGGAAGGCTCCAACTCAGCAGAAAAGATTAGGCAGCACCCTTGTCATCATTAAAGCTAAGTAACCACATATTCATTCTTTTTTTCATTGTTGCTACATGAATCAAAAATCAAGAGGGCCAAGGTGAACATACTGCATAGGAGGCCATGCATATTAAACTAATTAACAGTCACACTAAAAAGCTCTCCATGATCAATTCTGTGTCTGGTCTCCTGCACATTAACATTACCCTTGCCTTCGTATCTTCCATTTGCTCTGGTAGCCAGCAGGAAAGAAGACACAATGACTCTTCTAGTCCCAAAGTGATCATCTACAATGAGCAAATTTCCTAGCCAGAGTCTGGTATGAAATTCCACTAAAATGTGAATAAACCATGACTCACGTAAACAGGGCATATGTCCCCTGGCCCCACACAGGCTTAAAAATACCATTCTGCAGACTAACAAAAAGAAAAAACAAAACTAAACCCACTAGACTCTAGTGCTAACACCTGTACCCTCTGGCAAAGCGTCTAAGGCTGGAGGTATGTGTAAGATGCTGTCAGGAACTTAATTGCTCCCTGCAGGTCAATGTATATGGACACGGCTCTCAGGACAGCTGAGCCATCTCCTCTGGATACAGTAAGGCTTCCCAAGGGCCTAGATAATTCCTGTTATTTTCAGACTGTTGAAACTTTGGTTTGTGACATGAATTAAGTCTGGAAGCAGGAGAGCTTGCCACCTTTCTCCCTCAACTGTGCATTCTGGCTGTTCTGCTGTGGCGGGTAGGTGGGCTGGTTAAGGAAAGATGTCAGAAGAATTGTACAGACAAAGCTGGCTGCTGCTTGGTTACCAGGGCAACACCCAAGAGGGTAATAATTATTCTACTTAACGCCAATGCGTCTGCTCACGATCATACACTGCTGCCTCAAGCTCACACCTCAACAACTAAAAAATTACCTGAATAATCCACGTGACTCGTGGGAGATCTAAGCCTCGGGCAGCAACATCCTTCAAAACAAAAAAGAATACTGTTTAACACTGAGTTTCTCAACTTTTTGGGGGAGGGGAGGAGCACAGATCCATTTTGAAAATACACTGATAATACTGAGGGTTCACTCATCCCACAATGTGTACACACACACACTATTCTGCACACAACTTCAGGCAGCTCAGTGACCCAGTGAAGTCTGTCCATAGTTAAAAATTCTGATTTCAGGGTAAGTTCCACAGAACCCTTTCATCACCTGTGTTGCTAAAAACACATCTACAGGTTAGCCCTGAACTTAAACTGCAAATGTCAGTGTGTCACAGAATTCCAAAACTTGACCAGACATGGTGGTACATGCCTGTAATCCCAGCACTCAGGAAGCTGAAGAAGGAAGATCTTCAGTTTGAGGCCAGCCTGGGCTACGTAGCAAGACACCATCTCAAAAAAAAAAAAAATCTAAAAACTTCTAGCATGTTTTTACTAATTTACACTTTATGTACAGAGCAACATACAGGGCTAGAAATATGGCTCGTGGTAGGGTGCTTGCTCTTGCATGTTGTGCGCAAGGCTCTGGGCTTGATCCCCAGCCCTGCATGAGAAAATAAAATAAAAAGCCACTGTGATAAATATACCCATAGGTTATCATCCCAAACATTGCCAACCAGCCATGCCTAATAACAAGTGGCTCCAAAGCTTGCTTCTGCAATGTCCCTCCTCATAGTACCCACTTGTGGAGACAAGATGCAAAAGGCATCCTGAAGACTGCTTATTGAGCTCAGAGAGCAGTGAGGATCAAGTGATCTGCTGTCCCTTCTGACAGCTAACTCAGGGCACAACAGGCCAAGCCTGCTAACCACTTCAAAGACTTTGCTGAAAAACTCTCCTTTCAACTGATCGCCACCTGAAGAGCAGAAATTCTCTGCTCCTCTATTCTCTCACCATTCTGGAAAGTGAGACTAGAAGATGAAATCTCAAAATCTTCACCAATAGTTTGCACTCACCCTCAAGCTAACCATCCTAACAAGAATCTCCCCAGTCGACATCTACTGAACACTTACTAGATACCAGATGCTGTACTGAGCCTTTTACCTCCATTATCTTGACTAATTCTAAAAACAACTGTGACCCTTACTAGACAGATGAAAAAACCAAGGTCCAAAGAAGTAAGTACATGTCAGGGTCACAGCTAAGAAGTGGAGGTAACTGCTTTACTGTTCCAAGACTGTATTCCACCATTAAAAGGTGCTGTGTCCTTCATACATTGCTGTGGTTGGGAATTTGGTGACATCAGCAAAGTTACATATGCACTTGCCCTTCAATCCAGAACAGGCTGACTTCTAGAAAGATATGTTGCAAAAATACAAGACAATACTCACACAAGGCTATCCATTCAGCACTGTCTACAAGGAGACAAGTCACAAAAGATGGCTATACTCCAAATAAAAAGTATCACATAGCTATGAAAGGGACACATACAGCTATGTACTGATTTGAAGACTCAAGGATATAGTAGTGAGTGTCTATAATATGCTACCCAAACATATTTGCTCATGTTTCAAAAAGAGACCACAAAGGAAAAAGCCCAAAAGTTTACAAGAATAGTTACCTATAGGGGAAGGAAGAGAATAGGGAGAAGAGGACAAGGATGAAATCATATGGATGCCTGACATAATTAAAAAGTGCAAGGACCAGCTACCATGCAACAGGAAATACAGAGTGTTGCCTATGTCATTTTGCAAAAAAAATTAAAACCAAAATCTACAGCACAAATGTAATCAATTGCATGTATTCACCCACTGGTTCAAAGAACACTGGGAAAGAGGATCACAGTCACAGTAAACAACCCCAAGATGACACACTTGGCCAGACAGTGGGGAGCTCTAAAGAATAAGCAATCTGATGTCCTGGGGGTGGGGTGGGGGGGTGGGGTGTAGGGTAACAAAAACAAAAAACACTGAAAAGATGGGGATGGATACCCTGAACCAATATTCTGAAGAGGCAAAAACCATCAACTGTGGCATTCTAGACAGGAATTTGAGGTGATTTTTACTTATCTCTTTTCCCTTTGTACTCACCTGTGGTGTTTACTTTGTTTTCAACAGTGAATGCATATCATTTCTTCCAAAGCTTTAATTTAGAAAAGTTTAAACCTACTAGACTCAAGTGGTAGAGCACCTGCCTAGCAACTGCAAGATCCTGAGTTCAAGCCCCCAAGCAGACTTGAAAGATCAGCACAGCGAACATCTCAGTCTCTGCTAATCTTCAGCACACCTGCTTTTTCCTTCTCCCTCTGCAAACACACATCAGGACATTGTAACCCTCAATACTTCAGCAATCATCTCTAAACCACTCAAGTACCACACTTAAGAACTTAGTGTTAAAGAACACCATTTCCTTAAAAACATGGGGCGGGGGTGTAGCTCAGTGGCAAACCTCTCCAACTGTATCTGAGACCCCTTTCCTGACTTCATTTCTTTCCTAGCCAGGAGTGGCTAATAGACCATGAGTCTTAATCTGAAAGGATACCCTGCCTTTTATTGACTCATTTAGTATTCTGATAACTGTCACTTTTGAAGAGTCCAGGTGTCTTGAGGACCATCTCACACTGGATTCACCTAGTTGCTTCCTTTCCTCCTGGTAAGGTTCCAGTTAGGTATTCTGGCAAGAATACAACCTCAGGGTGGTGTGTGCTTCCTGCAGCTCCACAACCCACCAGGTGGCTTGTCCTGGATGGGTGATGTCATGTTCCATTACTGAAGTAACTGGCGTTCACCAGTTCTCCCCTCTCTCCTTTGTCATGGTTAAGTAACTGGGGAGCAAAACCTTGAGACCACTACAATGCCATTTCCTAAAACATGTCACCCAAGGGTCTACTGATGATGCTTCTTGTCTGTGTCAATTGTTATTTTGATGGTTGCAAAGGACTTTTTAAGTCCATCATCCCTTCCTTCCATTTCACAGCTGAGAGATTCTTCTCTATAGAACAGCTTCCCCCATCACTTTTTAAAAACAGAATCACTAAGGATTTGCATCTACATAGCTTTTGGGAATAATAATACTGTGGTACATTTCTGTAAGAAAAACAAAACAAAAAAGCCATGCTCCCTGTACCCCTAAGGGTCAGAGGCAGGACTTGAGAGGGACCACCGAGGGTACCAGCCTCCAGGTGTGCCTGAGATCTGCGGGTTTCCTTTCAGTGGTGCTTGGCTTGCATTTATGTGTGTAAGTGGAAGTTAATGCAGTAAAAGAATGTCAACCATTCATGAAGTGTTTGCAGACAGTTCTCACATATTCTGAGAGCTGAAGGCTGATCTTCTGGAGCTCATGGCTTTGAGAATACAATTTAGAATATTCTCTATGTAACAGGAGCAGCATCAGCTTTCTACACTAACTACGGTCAATGTCTTTTAAGAAACCCGACAGGCTCTTAATCTACTAAGCTCCTGTTAAGAAATGACTTATTTTATCTAGGTGCTCCGCTGTGAGGGATACACGTAGACAATGGCTGCCTGAGTTTAGACAGGCTCTGTAAAATTTCAATGCTCATTGGTTTAGTAAACTCAACCCGGAACCAGATAAAAGCCTCAAACAGCATATGGCATTCATGAATTTCACTGAGTCTAAACATGCTAAAGCAGTGAACGATGAATCCCAGGCTGGCCTCGATCTCATGAGCATCCTGCCTCAGCCTCCTGAGTGCTGGGATTACAGGTGTACACCACCAAACCCACTCTGGGCTCCTTCTCGGGTGGGGTGAAACCTCCCTGACAACCACACAGTACCTCTACTCGCTCTCTCCTATCTTGCTGCTGCCTCAGGTTCCTCCCCATTCTGGGCTCCAGAGGGAGCAGGGAGGAATCATAGTGTTAGTCTGGAACAGGGAGGCCTGGCACATTCCTGTCAGCAACACTAGAAGCTGGCCACATGGGCAAGCCAAGTCAGCTGTCAGCCCCAAGTGACACAGCTAACAGTGGCTGTGTCATTTTGTATCTTGAGTTGTATGAACAATGTTCTACGAACTGTAATTTAAGTATGCTGCTTTATGATGAAATAAGAAAGGGGATAGTGGGAGACTTAACTACCTTTTCACTTTCTCCATCACACCCCATTCAGCCTCCTGGCAGGGAGCACAGAGAAGCAAGTGACAGCCCTACCTTCCTGGAAGGCCATCCCTGTTACACTAGATCAGCAAAGGTTTCTGTCCTCTCTTAGCTCTTAGAACTTCAGGCTGATTGCACTCAATTTTATTTCTTTAACCTAATTAGGGCAGAAGAACCACTAAAGTCAGTTCTGAAAGACACTCACTGGAGAGGCCTTCAAGGCCCTGGGCTTGACAACTGGCTGCCGCCATGAGACCCAGGAGTACAGATGGAAGGCAGCTTGCTCAGGTGCCAGCCTGTCAGTTGGATTAAAATGACTCATTTATTTACCCAAGAACCTCACAAAGTGCTTTTACTAACAGGGAGAGTGGGCCTGCCATCTCTCTGCGAAGGGACGCACAAACTCGCCTCTGACGCCTTCCCGGCCTGCCAAAAGTCATTACTGCCATGTGTGGAAAGCCATCAGCAGGGTACAGGCCCCTGTCGTCCGGGTGACAGATTGGGCTGCGTAATCAGAGGAGGAAGGGGAGAGTGCAGAAGCTGTCAGAGGCGAGAGAACTTGGCTGGAGCCGCCAAAAAACTGGCAACATGAGTTAGCATAACTGAGTAAACAGCAAACAATCTCCAAATGATCCTTCCATTAACACCAACGAAATAAAGTAGAAAAGATAAACTTTACCTGAAACTCATACCCCAGAGAAATGCAAGAAGTCTACATCTGTTTGTGGCGCTGACCTGACATTCTTGTGACTCTTACAGCCTTAGCTCCTTTGTCTCCTGGCTGCCTGGCACCGTGGAAATTCCCCAGGAGGAGAGGAAATTAAGAACTGCACAGACAGAACAGCGTGTTTCAAGGCGGGGAGGTGGGGGGTGGGTTAGGTAGGAACTGAGAAGCTGGAGAGAAGTAGCACAGGGGATTTAGATGTATCTCTTGAATGCTTGTGCTGGACCCCCAAGATCCAGATGGCAGCCCAGGCTGAACTGAGGCCTTTTCTTTCTGGGGAGGTCACTCACTGGACTCTACTTGTCCATGGACAGCCAAAAGCAAACATACTAAGAGAGTCTAACCTCAAAACCAGAGGTGACTCAGAAATTCTACTTTCTTGCCACTCAATATTTCTCTTTATCAGCTCATCAACATAACAGAAGCATTAAAGACCAGGATTCCCTTCTTTGGCTCAAGGTGAGTTCTGCACCAGAAGCAAGAAGAAATACTATTTTGCAGGCAATGGAATGTGTTTCATCTAATTCTTTTAGTTTCTTTCTTTTCTTTTCTCTCTCTCTCTTTCTTTTTGTGGTACTGGGGCTTGCACTCAGGGCCTACACCTTGAGCCACTCCACCAGTCCTTAGCTTTGAACCGCAATCCTCCTGATCTCTGTCTGCCTCCTGAGTAGGTAAGATCACAGGTGTGAGCCACTGGTGCCCAGCTGTTCTTTTGGCTTCTTAATCCCAATTGGGGAAGTAGGCCTTGCTCATTCCATTCTTTTTTACTTTTCCTTTTTTTTTTTTTTTTTTTTTTCAGTACTAGGGCTTGAACTTAGGACCTAGCTGCTTGCTAGGCAGACACACTACCACATAAGCCATGTCTCCAGCCTTTTTTGCACTGGTTATTTTATCATGAAACTGGGGTTTGAACTCAGGGCTTCACCCTTACAAAGCAGGCGCTCTACCACTTGAGCCACACTTCCAGCTCATTCTGCTCTATGTTATTTTGGATATGGGGTCTCACAAACTATTTGCCTGGGTTGGCCTTGAACCATGATCTTCCCAATCTCAGCCTCCCAAGTAGCTGGGATTACAGGCATAAGCCACTGGCACCCAGCTTGTAGTAGTTACTTTTGAGACAGGGTCTCACTTCATGCCTGAGCTAGCCTGGATTATGAGCTTCCTATTTATGCTTTCTGAGTTGCTGGGATGATAGGCACACACCACCACACCCAGCTTCTATTGGATGAGATGGAATCTTGTGTAGACTTTTATCCAGGACTGGCCTTGAACCACAATCCTCCCGATTTCTGCCAGGCTTACAGGCTTGAGCCTGGCTTTTTCATAGGTCTAATTTTCCAGAGGAAACAAAATCACATCAATGTGAGAAGGCTACTTCTCTTTCACAAAGTGGTCTCCTGCCCTGACTGCCCTTGAGCTCGGCTTAAGTGCCCTCTCACCAGGGTTCAACACTGTTCAACAGCCAAGTTTGGGAGACAGGCCCAAAATGATAAAGAGTGCCCTCTCACCAGGGTTCAACACTGTTCAACAGCTAAGTTTGGGAGACAGGCCCAAAATGATAAAGATCCTTGCTTTTAAGACATTGATAATTAAGATGGACACACACACACACACACACACACACACATCCTTAACTGCTCCTAGCAGGAAGGTAAACAGGGTAGGAAAGGGAACTTTTAAATAGTAAAGGACACAGTGTCATGGTGGGCTTTCATGTAGTTACACTAATTTCCAAATATTCATAAAGATATTCTGTCTTTTCTGGTCTCATTAAAAGGATCCTGGGGTGATAAAGTGGCAAAAGTTTGGTAAAAAGGAGACCCCACCCAACAATTAATCACATAATTCCCCTTCATCAAAAGATGCTAGCTCCCCATCTGCCTTATCCTGACATGGCCCTCATTCCTCATTAACACCACCGAGGCACCTGGTGAGCATTCAGCTCACATGGCAAGCAACAGGATGCTTATGCTTATAAGGACAGTGACAGAAACTCTCTGCCCCAAGCACCATCTATTACGGTGTGTATGTGTATCTCACATACCCTGTGGCTCTCAGACACTACAAGTGCCAAGTTAAAGCAAACAAATATGGCAGAAGCAGCAGAAAAGCTGAGGGTGAGCAAATAACTTCTCATCTCTGGAACCTGTGGCTGCATCCTGGCTTAGAAAGGAGCCTACTCAACTCTTCTCCAGTGATCTCCACAAAGTGGAGAAAAGGTGAGACTGTAGGAAAAGGGGCTGCACATTGAAACTGACCAAATGAGCCAAAGGCCACAACCAAGAAGTTTTAGGAAAATCAGACTGTGGGCAAGAGTTTGCTCTACTCATGATGGGCAGGGGGGCTAGGGGTACTGTGCTCTGCCCAGACAATGGCAATCTTTATTTACAAACATCACTGGCAAGCAGTTATCAGCCAGACAGAAGAAGGAGAAAGCATATGCTTTTGACCCCACTGAGCATTACACTTCAGAAAGAATGATCCTTTTCCCCATGATAGCTATTTAAAAAACTAACAACAAGCTAGTAGAGTAGCTCAAGTAGCACAGCTTGAGGCCCTGAGTTCAAACCCCAGTATTAACAAAACAAACAAACAAAAGTAACAACAAACAGAACATTAAGTTTTCTTTGAGACTTAACAGTTCATTCATGTCTGTAAAGCAGCAGCTTTTGCATCCTGGGGTATTCAGTAATTTCTCAGGGATAGATCCAGGATCTTAAGGGTGGGGTTCATTTTCCTGAAGAAGTGAAATGTAAGCTGAGATCTAAGTGGGGATTAGTAAAGTCAGGGTGGGAGCTCCAGGCAGAAGGAAAAGCACATACAAAGGCCCAAGGCAAAAAAAGGCCTGAATGACAAATTCAAGGACCTGTAAGAAGGGACCCGCTGAGCTAAAGGTTAGAGAACAAGGCGGAAGTAGAGTGAGAGGAAACACATGGGGTCAGGTTCCTGAATGACCTTTCTGATAAAGATTACTGACAATTTCCTTATCAAGCAGAATACTTGGACTCACTCTTTAGTTTAGACATTTAGAGATGGTTTTTGAACGAACCTAAGTATGTGACTTGTAGGCAGGCTTCATAAAGGGAAGGTCTACTTGGTTAAGACACAGGTCCCCTCGGGAGGCAAGTACTCCAGAGAAATCATTCTCAGGCCTCAGCAACTCTTGTCAGAGGGCCACTCCATCACTCATGTGTAAGAACAGGCACTGGGATAAGCAGGTTTGCAGGCAGGCCTTATTGCAGATGAATACACACACACGCACACACGCATGCAAAACAAAGCTGAGTTTAAAAAGAAATGTTTCCTTTACAACTGAACATGTAGTAGGAGTTCCTTAAAGAGTAACTGCATTAGATGAGACACTCAAACAGCTAAATGTCAATTTCTACCTAGCACCGTCCACTAGATTACTAAATTTATTGTGCAATTTCATTACTGTATATACAGGGGCTTCTCCAATAACCCCTTGGGGATTAAGTTAGGTCATGCAAGCTGGCCCAGGCAGCAAAGGCAGTTTAATCTTGGGAAGGAGCAGCAACTGTGGCAAAGTCAATCCCTAAAGGGTGGGAACACTGAAGGTGAGTTTCCAATCTCTAAACGAACTAGAAATGGGCATTAAAAGGTCAGTGCTGTGCTGGAGGAGGCCGTCATGTGAGACAGCAGAGACTAAGGCCAATGAACTGGCCCTGAAAACAGTAGGGCAAATGATAGCTTTAAATAGCAGAAAGAAAACCTTCCTGTAAGGTGAGCAGAGGCGAGAGGAGTCACTTTATTGTGGAAAGACTTTCTCAGCTCTAATTACTCCGATAGCTGTAATTTACAAGTTTTTGGTGGGTAAAAATCACCAAGATTCACACCTTTTCAGACTAACAGCTGCCACTATTAGTGCGCAAATTGCCAAGTCTTCTGAGCAGTGGCAGCCAGCTCTGTGAGGCAGTCAGGTGATAAGCCAGAGGTGTAGAGAGACCAGCCACACCAAGAGACCCGGCCTTCCTGCTGTGCGGGGGGACTGGACCCAGGACATGATGTCCTGGTGGTTATAACCATCATAGAACTCAACCTTCATGTGAAGTAGAGTGATACATACCGTGCAAAGAAGGACACCTGTTTTGGAATGTGAGAATTCCTGAAACACTGCCGTTCTTTCCTACAAAAAAAAAGGAAAGAAAGCTTAGACTTCTATAGCTTTCCCAATTTTCTATGGCTCTAGCCATTTACAAACAGAGAGGCTCTCCAGAAAAAGAGAAAAAAGTGGACTCTGAGATGCCCCTATTCTTCCAGGAGGAGGAGGCCTCTGAGACCATAGCAACAGAGCAGAGTTTAAGGGCAGCACATTTCAGCCATGGTGGGCACATCACCATGGATGGCCCACAAAAGGGCAGTGATAGGCAAAGGCCCCAAGTTACCAGTGCTCTAGAGGAATGAACAAACAACAACCTCTTCCTACAGGGCAATTTTTAAAAGAAACTAATTCTAAAACAATGAAACGAAATTCCATGAAGTTATAAAAATGACATTTCTTTTTGTTGGTACTGGGATTTGAAGTCAGGGCCTTCCTAACACTTGTTAGGAAGGTTCTCCACCACTTGAGCCACTCAACCAGGCCTGTTTTTTTATGCTGCATTTTCTTGACATGAACTATTTGCCTGGGCTGGCTTCAAACTGTGATCCTACTGATCTCTGCCCTCCTGAGTAGAGCTAGGCATGAACCACTGGCATCTGGCAAACACATTTTGATTGTAGAAAGACAATATTTAAGTTAAACGAAGAAAACAGAATAATGGCGCTCTGCTATTTATCCTGCTTACACTGTTTTATTGTCTATCAGCTGAGGTGTTTTCTGAATTTGGGTGAATGGCTATGCCATCATCTATGTGACCAATGTGCTGGTTATTAGTGCAACTGATGTTATCGTTAATCTCTTACTGTCACAGTCAGTGCTGAGACGATCAACTTTGTAGAGAAGTCATTATGCACATTCTTAATTAATTATTCCCTTGGATTAAATTCCTAAAAACAGGTCTGCTGGATCAAAGGTGAGAAAATTCTAAGGCTTTCAGCATGAACTTGAAAAGAATCCACGGAATGTGCTTAAGTCATACCACCCCAAGAACTTGAGACTTGGTCACATTCTCCTGTCAGCAAATAAAAAGAAATAGAACTCTGGCACATTCCAACATCATTCCAGTCTTTCCCGTCCCTGAGTGCACTGGAAAGGGACACAGTAACACCCAAGAATGTTCTTTCCTTTTCCCTTTCCTTCTTCTCTCCTTTCTCTCTCTCTCTCTCTCTCTCTCTCTCTCTCTCTCTCTCTCTCTCTGTGGTAATGGGGGTTGAACTCAGAACTCAGGGCCTCAGGCTTGCTAGGCAGGCACTCCATCACTTGAGCCATGCAACCAGCACTGTGTGTTGGGTATTTTTGAGATGGGGGTCTTGCTTTCTGCCCCAGGTCTGGACTATGATCCTTGTATTTGCACTCCCCTATGTAGCTAGGATGATAGGCACATGCCTCCATACCCAGCCAATGGTTGAGATGGGGTCCCAAAAACTTTTCTTGTTTTTGCCCAGGCTGGTCTCAAACCATGATCCTCCAGATATCTGCATCCCAAGTAGCAAGGATTACAGGCTTGAGCCACTGAGCCCAACCTAAGAGCTTGCTTTTCATGTCTGAATTTAGCTAACCCTCAAGATGACCCTGTGAGAGAGAGGTATTATTCTCATCTCCATTTTCAGATTGAAAACTGAGGTAAGGAGAGTTAAGAAACTTGCCCAAGAGACAGGCACACACAGAGAAGGACCAGAATGACATTCAGTCCATTTGGGCCAGAGTTGGTGCTCAGACTTTTGGTAGGACACATGCATTGTCCAATTTGCATGGTCTCTATAAGAATTATTTTATTGCTTGCACTGAAGAATCAAAAGTAGAGAAGTCCCAAAAAGTCTGTGAAATATCTTAAAGGCTGGACATAATGTATTCAGGTACGGGGTAAGAAAAAACCTACCAACCTCTTGAGCTTTCATCAAACTATTCTGCAACATCTTCAGACAGTAACTTCTCACACACTGATGCTCACACACTTGTTTAGGATCATGTCAATCATCTAGGAAGATCACAGGCAGGCCTCGTGGGTTGTGGGCAGAGTACCACACCACCAAGATGTAATGGGACTGTTTCATTAAACAAACAGCTTGGTCTGAACAAAACCCTTAACCCTGGTATACTTACAAAACAAGAGGCAGGGATACTATCTCCTGCCTTCCTCCTAGTTCACAGGGAAGCTGTGAAGGCCAAATACTAACAATTATTAAGACATGAGAAAAGCTAAATTGTTCCTGAGAAAAAGATTTTACAGAAAACAATCTAGCAATAGTGCCACAGTAGACTAAGCTCTTACTATGTTTCACTGAACTCTTGCTATGTGCCAGGCCCTGCACTAAGGGTCTTACCCACGGTTACCCTATGAAGCAAGTGCTAGTAATTCCTCCATGTTAGAGACATGAAGCATCAGGTACAGAGAAGTCAAATGTTTAACTTGAGGTCACAGAGCCACTAAACGACAGATGACTAGAACACAGTGTGTCCGCAGGGGGCAGCTATCAACGCCATGCTACACTACCACCCCATTACAATGGGAGACAGACAGGCTGAAATCATTTAACTATACAATGTTTTACACAATCTACTAAAATTCCAGATTCTAAGTCCCTACCTGCTCCTTCATCCTCCTCAGAATGTCTCTGGTGAAAAAAGACCCAAAGGATTAATAAACTAAGTTTAAAATAAAAACCTAAAACCATAAATGGTATTAAAGAATGAAATCAACAAATTAAGTGGATCACCAGAGAGCTGAAGGTAAAATTCCCCATACACAGGGACTGCTGTGTAAGCTGGCAGCAAATAAACTGCGACATGAGTGACCTAGAATAAGGTCTCTTGTCTGTGCCTCTGTTTCCTTAACTGTTACAACATAAGGGCCAACCCAAGAGAGGCCAGGCTTGTTTACAGGCACATCAGTCCTTAACATCTCTTTTAGCTCTAACAGAAGTCCCTTCTAGTGATCTTACTCTGATTTCTGGTTTTCTTCCACTCTCATTTTCTAAGTTGCTTGGTAACCTCTTCTTGAGGACAAGATGGTTCTTTCCAAGCCTGTTCGTGCTTCCTTTCCTAGTTCCAGCAGGGATCCTCACTTCTACGCTCTACCCTGACTCCCTCAATGGACGGCCTCATTAACTACCATCAAATGAGGTTTGTACAGCCAATATCTAAAAGCAGAGATGGGCTCTCTTCCTCACAAACACGCCTTACTCTGACAGGAAAGAACTGGGACCTAAAGCCTGCTGGTACGCAGTGCCCGCTCCCGGCCCAAAGTGTTCAGAGTGCAGCGCTGTGTCTTGTTGACAATGACAGCAGCCGCGCTCAGCAGTACCATATGGGATCCACAATTTAGCTCCATTAATGCTCTTAATTTGAAGACATCAAGCCCTAATTACACACTGGGTACTAAAAAGGCAAAACCCTTCCCTGGTGCCAGCTACTTAGTGGTACTCTGTTGCCGTAACAGCTGGTTGAGGTAGACACAGGCCAGGTTGGGCCGCTGAGCTCTCTCAGGTGGAAGAGGCCAGTACCCAAGCAAGAGCAGATGGGAACAATAGGCCCCAGTGCCCACGTCCACCAAGCAGTGTGGTTCCCCTTGGTCCCAGTGGCTCCCCATTTTTGGCTACTTCTTCTTTGGCCCAGTGGAGTCTGTGAGGGACACAGACAGTGCTAAGGCTGGAGGATGAATTTACTGGGACTCAGGTTTGCAGTTTCCACCCTGGGCCCACGGCCACATGGGGAGGGAAGCGGCTCTCACCTCCTGCTTCATGTTGCCATGCAGCCGCAGGAATTTTAATCGTGAGGAAGCAGATGGTAACTGCCTTGATGCTGGGGCCCCTGAGCTGCTTAGCAGGGTGTGGAGGAAGAGGGTGTAGTGGAACTCCACCAGCTCACAACTGGAGAAAAAGATGATCATCTTCTGGTCCTTTTCAAACTACACCAATACAAAAGGGAAAAGTAAGTACATGGCTTTAAGCTTAAGTGACAGCAAAATGAGCATTTCTCTAAAATATATGTTCATGCTGGCCTCAATTTAGAGACACAGGTAACACAGCTTTGAATTATTTTTTTAAAAATAGCAACATTGATATTCCACTCTATAAAAAATGGAGAAAATGAAAATGACATAGCTCTGACATCAAACAGAAAAACAAATGTACTCTAGAGCACCACTGTCCCTCAGCTCTGTCCCTTTCATTCACACAAGGCGACACATTCAATAATAACCAGCTGCAACCCTACATACACAGTGAATCTTGAAGCCCCACAACCTACCATATCCCAGCAAAATTACCACATGGATCTTCTAAATAAACACACCAATACTAGGACTCTTCCAGAAATAAGAGCACAAGACCTGTACTTGCCTCTCATCCCAAGATTCTGCCACATGGGACATTTCCTTAGTATCAGTCCCGAGGAGGACAGTTAAAGTAGCTTTCAAGTTGAACACTACAACTATCATTGCTCTCAGATTCTTTACCACTATCCCAGAACCTCAGACTAAAAGGACAAATACACATGTCTGCATCCATGAACTCAAGAGTCAAGTTAGAAAACCTTTTTTTCCCCTTGGTGCCTCAATTCCCTGCTACTGCTGCCTGACACAAACAAAATACATTTCCTCCGTGGACCAGGCAAGGTCTAGGCCACAGGACTACCTTGCATTTCTGTAAGACAAAGGCTGCTAGGCAGACAAGCCGCAGTTTGCTGGGAACCAGTGTCACATGCTGGTCGAGGCTCTCCGGTATTGCAAAGCTGTCCCGCTCATTGCTAGTTTGTGGAAGAGCGACTTCCCGGGCTACTCTGCCCTCTGTATTAGAGTGGTCATGGCTTTTGTCCAGGACAGAAATACTGACTGGATTATGCAAACTGATATCAGCTAGCCGCGTTACACCTTGGGTAAAAGGGAAAAGCACAAAAGAGGGTTGTCATGTATGCATACCCCTATAACACCAACCCAGGCTTCTTAAAGAGGTACAAGCACCAAAGTGCCCTCCTGCCACTTTGGTGGGGCAGACCATCCCCTAACCGACTCATGCCACGTTTTCTAAACTCTCATCTAGGGAAGATTATCCAAAAGGATGTGAACAGATGTTTATGCCCACATTTGCCCTCCAAAAGGGTTCTCTGTTGCAAAAACTTTACATTAAAGTAGTTTCACAGTCTGCTTTGATACAGGCCTGCTCAGGGCCTTTACTGCATTAGTGTGTACCATGAACTCTAAGAGGGAAGGAAGGTATAGGACATTTCCCAAAGTTACTTGAGCACAGAATCCCTTTTGCATGGATGACCTCTCAAAATGAATGTTCCTAGAATATAGTTTGTGAAGTACATACACACATATCATACTGTGGCCTAGCAGATCAAGCAAAGCAGACATAAGCCATGGCTTATGTCTGTCTGCAGGCTGATTCATTATGAGGGGGAGCCAACCCTTCGTCCCTCCCATGAAGGTGGGAGCCATACTGTGAGAAGTATGTATTTTCAGTGACGACAAAGGCAGAATGATTACACTGAATATAATATACTGAAAAGAGGACACGGAGAAAGAGCAAGGGCCTTGACCTCTCTGAGCTGCAACTGCAATAAAAACCTCACACAATCAGGAGTCCAGTAGTGGCCAGCTTTGCCTTCCTCTGCATCTTGGTGTGGAAACCAGTAGCAGTCTCCCTACCTGAGATGATTCTGGATCTGGGACCTGCCCTTCCTCCCCTGCCCAGGCCCTGGGAACACATCACTGGATGACTGCAAGGGCAGCTGGGAGCACAGGGGAGTGGAAAGAATCACCCTCCAGGGATATTCCTTCCCCTCCCTTTCCAAGGTCGAGAGGTTGAATGGCTGAGTGGAGCAGCACTACTAGTAAAAAGCGCAGCTCCACCCAGGTCCTCCCTCTAAATGAAGAACAAAGCAGGTCCACTGCACCTTCCGTAAGCGTTGCAGACAGCAGGATGTTCTGCCGTTTCTGGCACTCGGCATTCAGGGCGTTAAGTATCACTGTGATGTCCTTCTCAAAACCCAAATCCAAGATTCTGTGATTGTAAGAGAAGGATCTCAGTGTAAGTGAAGAGTGTATGGGGCACTACAAAGCTACAGAAGCTGCCACAAAGACTGCAGGGACAACCTTTTCTATCCCAAATGAAGCTCACCTGTCTGCTTCATCCAAAACCAGCCACTGTATCCGGCTAAAACGAATGTTTTTTGTGGACTTAATATGATCCACCAGACGGCCGGGAGTTGAGATAAGGATATTTATTCCTTTACGGAGTCTGTTTAAAATTATGTATCATAAAAGAAAGTAAGTCAAACAGGGATATAGCAACAGAAAAACACAAGACTCATTTTGGGTATGTCAAAAGCCTGAAGTCACAGAAAACATAAAGCCCAAGTGGATAAAAAAAGACAGAACACTAAGTTTTTCCTTTTTTTACAGAATAAAAACTATTAAGATCTAAAATTCTATTAAAGTCACAAAACTTTTACTTTGGGAGGAGTTTTAACTATTTAATCTAATGCTTTTCTGATACCCAGATCCTGTCTAGAACATCCTACCTGTGGTCATCTAGCCAGTTCTTAAAGGTTCTGACTGAGTGGAAGCTCAGAAAGCCTCCTGACTGAGTAAGCTGTCCTATGCAGGGTGCTACAATTGCTAGGTTTTTTTTTTTATACCAAACCATTTAGGTGACTCCCACAAAATGGGCCTAAGCTTTGCCCAAAGACTACACACCGAGTAAGCCTTAGGGTAAATCTTAATCTCTCACCACATACAGGATAAATCTCAATCTCTCACTCCTCAGACAACTACTTCTCCATTAGTCCATAGTAACAGATAACAAACCTTTTAGCAGGATGTATTTTCTTGTTTCCCTTTCAGTAAAGTATGGTGTTATGCCTATGTTCTAGCAATGGAATAAAGGATAGGATAGGCAAATCACACAAGTACCTGTGGAGAGAGGAGCTATGCCCATCTTTGTTAGTGTTAGCAGAAAACTAAATGTAATGGCTGGAGCTCCAGCAACTATCCAAGATTAAGAGGTAACCTTGAAAATGGAAGCCTCCCACATGGGCACAAAAAGACAGAAGGAACACCATGCCAACCTGGCCTGGCTCCTGACTTCTTGAATGTGAAAGCCAAATAAAACCCTCACATTTCACAAAACTTTTATTTGGGCCACTGCTACTTTTACTGTTGGGATTACTTATAGCTGAATCTAATCCTAACCAATACTTTTAAGTGCCAAGTTTTATAGTTATTCTTCAGTTACAGAGCACAACACAACTAAGTGTTTTAGGAAGAATGTCGACAATTTGGGGTCCACCTGTTGCAACAATTTTCTACTGACACCATTACAAGTTCTAGTGTAGAATTAGGAATCAGTGTATTTACAAGTTGCCGAGCACTATGGAAGCTCACAGCCTTGTTTCTGAAATCCAAACACCACCCCCTGCAGCTCCCAACCTACACAGAATGGAGTCCCACCTGTGGGATGTGCATGAACAGGGTGGAGGGGAGTTAGGATGGTAGAGGCACTGTGACCAGTGACATGCAAGGAAACCTGACGGCAGGTTCTTCAGTATTTCAAAAGTCAGCACCGTCTAGAGGTGACTGCTCCCTGCTGCCTTGGTTGTCCCTATGTGCTGGGACCAGGAGGCATAGTTGGAGATGAGGGTCTTTCCAGGTTAGAAGGACCAAGGCTTGCTGAACACAAAGACAGGACAGAAAGATTCCAAGAGGAATGAACAAACCAACCCCACCTACCTGGCCTTTTCTGATTTTCTCTTTTCTCCACCCATCAACACCCCAGGCACAATCCAGGTGAATGGCTACAGAAAAATGACAGACCAAAAATCAAAGGTGGAGACTGATGCTAAATTCCTGGTCCTTGAGGAAGATGGCAAGAGGGCACATGCAGGTTTCCTGTAGTGTAAGGTATTATTGTGTAGACACAGCTCCTGGGCACTGCCCTGCCCACAGTTACTATCAGCAGTAGCTGGGATTATAGCTATATAATAGCTTCCAACACTGTCAGAGACAAATATAAGCTTTTAAAATTACTCCAGTAGCCCCCATGCCTTTCCCCAAAGAGCCCAAATAGAAAATAAATTTCACTAAGTCTACTGCCTTGGAGCAGGAGATGCAAGATAAAACCCAAGCAACACCCTTCCCTTTTCACCACCCCAATAAAAGAAAGGACAGATCAATTCATGATATACTTTGGTGAGTCGGCAGGCTTTGACTCCACAACCTTCTCCTTCCTTCTTAAAGAAAACCCTACTTGCAGCCTTGTATTGTCTTCCACTGGATCTGTATGTAGCTTGCTACCAACTATGATGTGCAGACTGTAGTACTTTAAACTCCAGACACACTGGTAATTTAGCTAAGCTGGAAGTCAGTGTTACTAAAGTTTCTCTACCTACAAAAAGCAGAAATATACAGGGAAGAGAAAATAAGAGCGATTTCTACCTCTTTGAAAATAGAATGGTATGTTAATATTTCCTCAGAATGTCAGAAAAAGAAAGATAAAACTGAACTCAGGGTTTGTCTTACCTTAAGCAGTTTCTGGACAGTGTCAAAGCTTTGTAGAGCCAGCTGTAAATATTAAGAAATTATGGACAATGAGCAGGGTCTCCCCCCCCCTTTTTTTAATCTTAAAAGATAATCTAAATTGACAAGGATTCAAAGTCAGACCTCAAGTTAAGAAAAACAATCCTACACAAAGCATCTACTCTGAAAATACCTTGTTCTTAGATTGGCTCTGAAACCTGTCACTTTGGGCAACAAGGGTAAAGACATCACATTCATTCCTTGGAAGTGTTTAAAAATAGTGTTTTGTGCTCCCTCTGCTGGCTCAAATTCCCACAGTGACACACAGAGAAGTTTAAGACTGGTGCACAAACCAGAAGAAAATGAAGCAAAGTCAACTTAAATTTGGCTCTCCTGAGAAAGACAGGGAATGTACCATGTATGAAGGAGTAAAACAGACCAGTGATGCAACAGGCTAGCCCCTAGGGACTCGGCTTTAAGGTGACATGCTGTATCCCAAGACTGTGCTATGGGACCGAAACACTGGCAGGTCGTCACCCCAAGCTTACAAAAACAAAACCAAATCAGCAAGCCCAGAGGAAACAAGAGAGTGAAAATGAGAAGGTTTTACCCATTAACCATCAAAAAAGCCTGTACAGAATCCTGTTATCCAAAGATACATACATAGTTTCCACAGGTTTAGCATTCGTGAAGCATCCTAGTGAAGCAGCAAGTTTGTTGCTGTAAACATTTAAATAGCTTCATGCATACTCCTTGGTGGAACTGAGCAGGGGGCACCACAGGCTGCATGGAAGGCTCACTTGAAACTCCCATGTGCATGACAACTCTGCAAGGACATGATTAGCACTTGACAAGGAAAACAGACACTGCCTCTGTAGAAACAGAAGAGAGTTCTACCAAGAAAGACGAAAACTATCAAGAAGCTTAAATTTCGGGAATATGTGAAAATTTTAGAAGCAGTGGTTTAAAAAATTTTTTAAAAAAGATTTCTTTCAGGGCCAACTGTTTCTATTTTTAATTACTTTGTTTAAAAAATTTAAGCTCTAAAAATCCAATTCTTTTAATTCCTTTTAAAGGGAAAGAAAATTTAAGTGTCATTAGTTTTTAAAAAGAAAAATGCCATACTTAGCTTATGATTTTCAAAAAGCATTTGGATTTTTCTCCTTGACAAGAGCCAGAAGGATAGTTCCCTTGCAAAGGAAAAAGTGTGCAGTGGTTTGTGAAAGAGGGAGAATGTGATAAAACCACTTTAAGTTAACAGGATATTACTGAAAGTATGTACTTATACCTCACACTGCACGAGACACTTACCTCTCTCGTTGGCACTAGCACCAGAGCATAGGGACCATCGCTGCGCTGTCAACAGAGGAAAGAAATGCCATAAGCAGGGCAAAGGAAGTCCAGACTCCAGAGAGATGAGACTTATGGGGCACCAGCTCCACAACATCAGAAGCACTGTCATCAAGAAAGAAATGAGACAAGGATGTCTGCGAACCCCATGATTATATAACATTGTGCAACAGCCCTGGTCCATGCAATCAGAAAAGAGAAAGAAATATGATGCATAAAACTGGAAAGTAAGCCAGGTGCTTGTGGCTCACGCCTGTAATCCTAGCCACTTGGGAGACAGAGATCAGGAGGATCACAGTTTGAAGTCAACCAGGGAAAATAGTTCGAGAGATCCTATCTCAAAAAGTACCCAACATAAAACGAGACTAGTAGAGTGGTTCAAATGGTAAAGCACCTGCCTAGCAAGCGTGAGGCTCCCAGTACAAACCCCAGTACCACCAAAAATAAAGCAATACAAAATAAAATTGGAAAGGACAGGAAATTATCATCATTAGCAGATCAAGTTATTTTATCTTAGAGGAAAAAAACTTTCAGAGTCAACTGAAAATCCTTACAAACAAGGGATTTTAGTTCAGTAGCTGAATGCAAAATTAATGTAGAAATCAATAGTCTTCTAATATAGAAAATGAGAAAATTCAGTGGAAAGAAAGATTTCACACTTCCAATGGCAATGAAAAAAGATCAACAGGGGGAGAAATGACCCAAACAGTGTATGCACATATGAATAAAAGAAAAAAAAGATAAACAGAACAAGCTTTAAAAAATGTACAAAGTCTAGCCAGATGTTGCTGTGTAATCCCAGCACTCAAGAGGCAGAGGCAGGAAGATCTCAAATCTGAGGCCAGCCTGGGCCTCAGATTGTTTTTGAGATGGTCTGTCTCAAAATACAAGACAAAACAAAAAACCCCACAATCTGTATGAAGAAAAATTTAAAACATCTGAGAGATATAAAATCTGAAAAAAAAAGGATTTACTCTATTCTTGAATAAGATTCAAAATTATTTGTTACTTCTCCCTGAATCAACCATAAATGTAATGCAATACTAACAAAATAACAAAAATTGTGTATGCATATGCATGTTGAACAATATAGCCAGACAAGCTGATTTCAAAGTAAATACGGAAAATAAGCACGCAAAACCCCAAGACATTTGTGAAAAGCATGATGTTAATATAAAGCTACAGAAATTACTAAAGTGTTCTGAACAGAGATTACAACAGCAAGCGGCATCTACAATAGTCAAATGCATACAGGGCTTTGGGAAGAAGAATGAGGGCCGCTTTGCTGTTTAGTGCCCAGGTTGGCGTCAAACACACACAGTGCTGCCTCAGCCCCCGAGGGCTGGGGTTCTATTGTACACTGCTATGCCTTGTTATAAGGGCAATTTTATATATTTTATATCAATAGAGAAAAGATGAATTATTTCAAAAGTCAAAAAAAAGGGAAAAGGGGCAAGGAAGTCACCTTTTTGCAGATGATACAACAGTCCAAAACCTAAAAGGAAACCCTGACAAACTTCAGAATATCATACATACTACGCATCACCTTTAGTAGTGCTCCCAGCAAAATACGGAAGATAATATAAATTCTACCAGTCAATAAGGGTGTAACTAGTAATTTATGGTACATACATACAATGGAATACTAGGTAGCCATTAAAAAGAACAAGGCAGCTCAAAAAGAGTACTGGTAAGAAACCATTCCCAAAACATAAAAGGCACAGATGACACGGTAATGCACACCTATAATATCAGCACTCAGGAGGCTGAAGCAGGGGATCATCACTTTGAGGCCAGGCTGCACTATACAATAAGACCTCTTCAAAACAAAACAAAACGAGGTAGGTAAGATTACGAATAACAAATAAACATTGTGGATGGACCCAAATGCAACAGGAAAACAAACAATTTCACATAAAAATGAAAGAGGAAGCACGCAGACTCTTATTTGTTTGATATGCAAATATTCCTGGAGGAGACACCAGAGTCAGTTCAGAGACTCAGTTCACTGTAGCTATTCTTGTGTCCCCGTTCTTTGAATATTTTAATTTCTCAGATATATTGTATCTAACTAATACTAAACACCGAAGCTATCTGCAGAAGGCGCTAAGTCAATGGTGGTTGCACATCGTAGTGCTCAGAGATGCTGAATGAATGAATCAAAATAACGTCAGTGCCAGATTCGGCAACGATTTCAATTACAAGGATGGCTTTCGTGTTTCAAATAGGAAACATTTACCCACAAGGGGAAAAGGATTTAGAATTTAAACCAGAGTTGTCTGTACTCAACACCAACTTAGCCAGACTACACTGGAGCCCAGGCTAGAGATGGCAAACATGCTAGTACAGCAGGATTAACATGCCACCCTGTGACACTGGGAGGTTCTGACATTCAAAGTAAGAACAACCAATTCTTCAAAGGGCAGGATAGATGTGATGTTAAAAATCAGAGAGCGACCAAGGTGATTTAAAGAATCCACTGGATGCCCTGAATTTGCTGCTGCACCCAGATAAGTTTCTTACAGGTCAATCATCTTAAAATGAACTCTAAGAGACTATACAGAACAATATTTGAAACAAGTGAGTTAAATTGGTTTGGAAAACGATTTGTACAGAAGATTTCAATCTCTCCTTTTCTTTTTTTTGAGCTGGGGTCACCGTATGTAGTGAAGGCTGGCCTTGAACCTGCTATGTAGCACAGGCTCACCTTGAATGCATGATTGCCCTGCCTCAGCCTCCTACACACCGGGATTGGGGGTGTGCGTCATCACACTAGACCCTTCTTCTTTAATAGAATGATGTTAGTGATATTTAAAAAAACCTGAGCAGATATAAACTTACATGCCTATTGTTAATGGTTCTGAACATAAGCAAATCAAATCATTGCCCTTCAAAGTAGCCACATGGCTGTGTTTATGACAACTAACAATAAGTGACCAGCTTTCGATTCACACCTTTTCACCCACACACATGCCAAAAAAAAAGAAAACCAGCACTCAGACCCAGAATCTGAACAGAGCCTTGCACCACCACACCCTCAAATCTGCTGCCCTCACTTCATGGTCTATGAAATGAGAGTTGGGCTAGAACTGCAGGATCAGCAAGAAGTTCCAGAATATGCAAGTGGCTAAGACTTTACTACACAAGCAAAATAATTTACATTTATTCTTCTCTAACTGTGTATCAGGGACAATGCTAACCACTTTGAATGAATTACCTCATCGTAAAGCACTTATGGGGTTTCCTCACCCACCTTATGGAAGGCCACAATTAACAGTTTACTAAGCATCCTCCTAATTATACATACATACACAGATCATCACTTATGAAGCTAGTCACAGCTTCTTCAATGAACATGGAAAGGACACTTGTTCAAGTTCACAAATAGCAATTTACAGGAATGTCTCTTTTTGTGTGTTTGGCAGTACTGGGGTTTGAACTCAAGCCCTTGCACTACCACTTAGGCTACAGCCCAAGCAATGTCACTTTAAATTGTTACATAGAGTTCTATCAGTTGGATGATTCTGTAGGCTTCTTTCTAAATTGATTTTAAAAAATTAACCTATTCATTTTGAAAGAGTTTCAGGCTTACCAAAAAAAATTATGCAATTTATATAAGGAACCCCCATACATCTCTCTTCTAGTTCCTCATGCTATCCATTACCAAACTCACAGTAAAACTATCAAAACCAAGAAACTAACATCGACTCAATATTATTACCACTATTTTTTGGCAGTGCTGGGGTTTGAACTCAGGACTTGGAATTTACTAGACAGACACTCTACCACTTGAGCCATGTCCTCAGTCCTTTTGCTTTGTTTTTTTTTTATCTCTAGACCATGGTCCTCCTGTTTACACCTCCTGCAGAATTGGAAAAACAGGTGAATACCACCACAGCCAGATTATTGGGTAAAATAGGGTCTTACTAACTTTTTTGTCCCAGATGACCTTGAAGTGCTCCTTCTGTTCTCTGCCTCTTGAGTAACAGAGATTACAGGCATGAGCCACCACACCCTGATTTAATATTAGTTAATTTGCAAAACCTTATTCAAATTTTATCAATTAACCTATACATGTCCTATACATTTCCACAGTAGAGTCCAAATCCCAATCTTTTTCAATCTGCAGTACTTCCTTAGCATATGTCTTTCATAACCTCAAGTCTCTGAAAGACTACTGGCCAACTATTTGGTAGAATGGCCCTCAATTTGGGTTTGTCTGTTGCTTCCTTGAGATTAAACTCAGGTCATATATTTTTTTCACAAGAAAACCACAGAAGCCTCCTTTGGAGGCAGATGAGGCTGACACATGTCAGCACTGGTGATGGTAATATAGTGGCAGCTGGGCTTTCCTCCTCATTAAAAAGTAGCCTGTGTAGAGACATTGAGACTGGGAAAATCCTACTTCTCACTGCACTGCTACTCATTCATTTCAGCCTGCGAGATGATCCATGGCTGGAACGATGTTGCCACATGGTGATTTCCTATTTCCTTCACTTCTTCATGACTGGAATTCTACTACAGAAAAGCCTTTCCTCTCCCGTTTTCTTATGTGTTCAGTCATTGCCTTTCTTCTCATGCATATTTGTTTTAGTCTATGAACTATTAGACAACACCATCATCATTTATTTTGTCACTCACATATCAGGTAGGCTTGATACACTTCTAATTCTGCATGTCTGAACCAAACAATCATCAGGTAGCTCTTCCCCTCTGCTCTCATTATTTCCTCTCAACTAAGAACACCTGGGCTGCATCTGTGGACTCTGGGCTGGAGTTTAAGATAAAGTCTATACCTTTGGGTCACAGCAGTTAACTGGCATTCTGGGGAATCCAATTTTGGTCAATTTGGCCAAGGCACTAAATAAATGTATTTCACAACTAAAGACAAATTCTAGATAATACTAAACACTTGGCAGCACAACTGCCAAATTCACTAACAGATGCTCATTTTCACATCTGCTATTATTGATAAGCCACTGTTAAAGTTTAGCCTTCCTCTTCAAAAGTAAACAACACATGGAACTTTGAATAGAATGCTGAATGTTAACTCCCCATGATTTAAAACACAGTCCTAAGACAACAGCATAAATGGATAGCTGCATATCAAATCATTTTGAGATATTTACCTAGTACCCAGTCCAATACTGGGCACTATGTACAGAGGGAAGGCCTCTACCTAGGACAGGAGCAGCACTGAACCTCACCATAAAGTCATGGCACAGATGACAGCTTAGTCTAGAGCTATTCCAGTACTCGCTGCATGACCTTGGTTCTCCTATTTTCTAAGCCTCTTTTCTTTTTGTAACCAAGATAATATCGATGCCTATGACTAACGTGGTGAGGCATAGAGCAATGGAAGATTCAAGAAGGTGACACATGCAGAACGCTGAGCACAATGCCCAGAGCACTGGAAGTAGGTTTATTCTACTCCACTCTTGGTACAGTCTTCATGCCTATGTAAATTTAAAGGAAAGAGAAAACAATGCAAAATGAAAAGAGAGCCTTTCAGTCCGAATATTACTGCTTATGTGCTACGGGTGACAGCAGAAGAACATATTTTATGCTCACCTGTATTTTTGACTTCAGTGCTTGCAGGGACTGGACCACAGGGATGCAATAAGCAAGAGTTTTACCTTTTAAAAGAATGCAAAGACAATTAAAAGGTAAATAGGCTCTGCTAGTACTAAATTTTGGGAGAAGACAAACTGCACATCCTACATCTAAGAGATAAAAAGTACTTCACATGTCTGCCATGACTCTCAGTTTTGCTTTGTAGATTCAATACTTCTAAGAAACCTGGAGCTTCAGCTCCTTTATCCATCCAGCAAGAAGGATAATAATATTTCCTAAATTACATGGAAGTTCAACCTGGTGCTCTCTATGGAAGCCAGAAAATGCCTCCTGTAAAGTCCTTCTCCACTCTGCAATAAGCTGCAGTGGTCACCTAAATGCCCTCTGCTGTCGTGGTATGAACCCTGGAGCCAACCTTCAAAGTCAGAGAAACCATGGCGAGACAGAAGCTCTGGGTGTCCAGTCCATTTAGCATGGCCAGGCTGCCCTGCCAGGAGGGCAAAGAGGTCAGAAGAGCAGTCCAGGCAAACAATATCCCGTGCCCAACACAGCAACTGTGTTCATGCTAGAACTATTCTCATGAGAAGAAACAGCAACCCCCAATGGGAGTGAAGATGGGCAGCTCTGCCATGGGTGGTGGGACTTGGCAAAGTCCTGAAATACAGCTCACAGGAACAGAAGAGCTCAAGTCCTACACCCCCTCGCATTCCCATCACAGCACCAGCCGCTGTGCCCCACTCACTCCGTGAGCAAACTCAGGGCTCTAATCAAAGCAAGCACAGCCTCCCTTCCCCAGACAAGACAGAACAGCCACCAGCACCACAGCCAGTTCCTGCAGAGCCTACCACATGATGATGGGCCTAGTGCCACAGGACAAAGGGCAGAAGTTAAACAGTGACTGACCTGAGCCTGTCTGGGACCGCACGAGGGCATCTCTCCCTTCCAGCAGCACAGGAATGCTCTGCTTCTGCACACTGGGGTCGCCCAAAAGAAAGAACACACCTTATGTCTATCACGTACTTCTTTATGCGTACAGGCAGACCTGGGGTACGTAACTTTGACTGCCGACTCCCTCTTAGATGTTCCCTAAGCTGCAATGAAGGTGCTGAGAGACTCGATGGTCAGAATAAACTCCTAGCAATATTCCTGAAACCTAACTGAAAATGGTGAAGCAAGACAGACTGGCCGTGGCATTAAACTGCTTTCTGAAAAAACTGGACAGGCATGACAATAAGGTTATCACAAAAACTTTACCACACACTCTATTTCCTCCTGTAATAGGGAATCTAGGACACAACAAAACACAAAGAAAGATTTCCACACAGAACAAAAGGAAGCTTGCAAGCCAGCCAGATAACCAGCAGCAGCTGTACCCCTCGAAGAGACTGCCACTGACACACTGAGAGGTGCATTTACTTGTGTCTTTAAAACCAAACAGCAAAAAAGGACAGGAGAACCACTTAGATTTGGCTTATAAATTTATTTTTCAATATTCTTATTTACACTTATGAAAACAAAAAGTACCCATTAACTCAAGTGTGCAGCAGCACACTTACTCCTAGTGTGAAAGTGCCCCTCCCCAGCCTTGTAGTTCACTATTTCTATTTTCCAGAGGTCAACACTGTAACAAACAGTTAAAACACCTTTTCAGTATCCCATCTTATCCAATCAAATATTTACTCGTCTTTTTGGTTGACCTTATTCTTACTACTAAGAAATGGTATGAGAAAATTCTGTATTTTGCCCAAATTATTTTCAGGGCGCCATGGTTAGCAGGGGGTCCTCTGAACCAGTACCTCTTGCAGGTTAGAGCCAAGAGCAGAACTGGATGGAAACCCAGTCTATCCATCTAACAGGCAGAGAGCCCAGAGGTTAAGTGCATGTCAAGCCCTGAATGGTCACTAACCCAGCACTGTTTGCCAGCACCAAGACACAAACTTGCTCTGCCCTCCACAGATAATCTGGCTTTCGCCAGGCTATACATACCCACTTAAGCCCTAAGAAAATCAAGAGCAGCCTGGAACTCTTACCTGGTCATACTGGACATTTTTAAGACTGTAGTTATTGTGGAAATCTAAAAAGAGAAGGTGAAAAATAAGTATCTCTACCAGCATTTTGGTACAAATATATTTAATGGAAATGACACAAAAAAGGAAGAAATACTGGGATGACGCTGATTATCGTAATCAAATCAGCTGAGTGGTTTTCAGCTGAGGTGATTCTGCCCTCTACCCCTACATGCCACAGTATGTGGAGAAGTTTTTGGTTGTCATAGCTGGGATGGGGTACTACCAGTACCTTGTGAGCGGAAGCCCAGGATGCTGTCAAATATTCAAAAATGCACAGGATCATCCCTACAACAATGGCCATCTAGCCTGAAATGTCCACAGCACTAAGATTCTACACTGTGAGAAAACAATCCTGTGTACCCACCCTGAAGAAAGGGTGGATAAACTGTACCATCTGACAAAGGCAATCAAGGCTTCCAAAAGCCCAGACATATTTTCTCCCCTTAGTCAAAGGAAGTCTAGAAAACCCACTCATGATATTAAAACAGAAAGGGAGAAAGAGGTGTCCATTTGCTTGTAGAAAATGCATTTATTTTATTTACTTTTAAGTTAGAATCCTTTTTCATTTATTCATATGTGCATACATTGTTTGGGCCATTTCTCCCCTTGCCCCTGCCCCCTCCCTAGAAGATGCATTTAAAGTAGCCTCTTCTTCCTTCATTTTCTAGACTGCACACGTCCCTGAATAGCAAGAAACTAGCTCAGTTCCCTTCCCTATGGTCACTGTGCCATCTGCCAGCATGAATGGCTTTACACATCTACCCAGAAATTAAGAAGCTGTTTTAAGTCCAATAAGTGAAGTCCTGGTCCTGCACTGCCTTGGATGAGGACAATCTCTAGATCTTAAAAAAAGAAAACAAGGTGTGTGTGTGTGGAGTGAGGGGGATGCAAAGAGGAAGGGTCTTAGCATACCCCCATTGCCCCAGGAGAATGACCCACCAATTTGAATTCATTCAGGTGGCTAGGAGCAGAAACAGACATCAAACAAACAAACAAATGCACCAACAAAAGGACCCATAAAGTGCTAGGGGATACTCACTAGATGTGGGTGGAGGCCCAGCTCGTGGAAAGACTCTGGAGTGAACACTTGTTCTCTCTCCTGCTTTACAACAGGTCTGCAGAGGACGGAAAAACCAGGTATCAGTGCTAAGGTTAGCAAAGGGAAAGACAGCACACGTGCAATTTCTTTTATCCCTGGAGTATACCTGTACCTGAACATACCTGTGGAGCTCTGGAATTTCAGGGTTGTTTTTAAACAACGACGAAGTCTTAATGCATGGTCTCTCCTCTTGCTTTCCACCACCTGTGCTAACCGAATACTTCTTCGGAGAAAATGTTTTTTGCGTATTCCCCTTAAACGTCCTTTGAGTTTCTTTAACACTAGGTTTCTTGGCTGGGAGAAAAGCTGTTTCGTGCCTCCGTTTTGCAGGAGGAGCTTCACTGGACCCTTGGTGTTTTCTCTTGGTAGCTTTTGCTTGCTGAGTTGTTCCCAAAAGGAAATATCAAGAAGAGGTGCATTAGCCCATGAAGACAGCCCTGAGAGTGAAGCCTGACTGCCCACAGAATCACAGCTCTTCCCGCAGAGATCATTACGCCCCATATGCCAACCAACAGTTTAGGGTTTGCAATCAGATTCTTTGACAGCTTTTTCCAAAATGTGCGAGGCAAGGGGGGGGGCGGGGAAATCAATCTTTAGTTATTCATCTACAAGGCCTCGATATCCATCTTAACTGTTAAGTCACACAAGATGAGGGTGAGGTTCAGGAGGGAGAAATGCTTTTCAAGTAACCAACTCAGTCTGCTTTAATGGAAGTGAGAACCCACCTTGTGAAGTGGGTGTGCTAAGTCAACCTACACCCCTAGGAATCCATTTACTCAAGAAGCACAGAGGCAGGGGAAATGAATCTTTTCTCCTACCAACAAAGCACATCAAGGCTAGACAGGGAAGAGACAAGCGAGAGGCACGTCCCAGCTTGTGCCCAGAAAGCGGAAACCTTCATTACTGCTCTACTCTAGTGCTTGGATCTCTGTCATCCTCTCCCCTCAAGCTGCTCCTCCAATTTCAGATGGTCTGGAGACAACTCCTACTCACAGTTCCCATTCCAAATGAGAACACTGCTCCATCCATCACCTGGATCACATTATTTTCAACCCTCCTCGCCTTTCCAGGCCCTGCCTGACTGCCAATCACAGGCCTTGCCTATCGCATATTTCCAAAATGTGACTAAAAGCAGAATGGCCAAACTTCCCATAGAAGGAACGTCCAATTCCTCTATTTTCTTGAGCCTTTTCTTCTGGTTTGTACAAGAATATATAATAACCATCAAGTAGCCAGTGCTTGTTATTCTGAAGCTCAGGACTAGGTTTTCTTCCTTGCTTAAAATAATGACTTGTGTTTGCACACTGCTTGCTTTAGCCATGACTATAACTTCCAAACAAACCTCGAAATTAAAAATAACTTCTTTTTTTTCCTGGCATCCATAAGGGTTCCTTCATCTAAGTGACTGAATAAATAAATTTCAAATATTTAATATTAATAAAGTGCTGGCCTACTTCACTTTATAAATTTGTTTATACAAAGTCCTAAGCTTCATGAATTTTCAGATTAAAGACAGGATTTAGGTCTGTTGAATCATTTGCAAAGCAGCATGAAACCTGCAAATTTCACATGACTTACACTATGGCAGAGCCCACTCCTACCACGCATGGGATTCCTATTATGGTTCCCTGGTGGTGACCTTGCAGCCTCTTCTGCTCCTGACCAATCTTGAGGATCAGGAAGCTTTTCCAACACCCAGACAAGATCTCCTCTTTGAGCAGCAACCTACCAGTCTGAAGAACACTTTCTGCAGAATACAAAACAAGCTTACTTCCTATGTACAAAATATTTCCTCCTAACATATGTAACTCCCTTTTCCTTCTTTGGACTGAATATTCCAGGTAGTAAATAAACTTATCATCCTGGTCGCCATTTATTCCTATGTCAAGCAGTATCTCTCTAAAAGCAAGTACTCAGAAGTGTATCAATTAATAGTAATTAGGCAGGTTTCCCACTGCTTTTAGGCTAAAATTGAAAAGCTGCAATAAAGTCCATGAAGTCCTCCAGAATATGACTTCTGCTCATCTGACCAGCTTCAGCTTTACTCTCTGCCATCTGTTCTCCCTTCAATTTCTAGAACATACCATGTTCCTTCCCTCCCCCAGGTCTTTGCACATTCGAGTCCCTCACGTGGAACTACAACCTCCTTTTGGCCAACGTGTTCTCACCTTCATTTGCAGGCTCTACCCATCCTCAGAAGAGCCTTCCTGACGTCTTCTCTCTACCCTGTCAAGCCAAGGTTCCCTGCTCTTTGCTCTCTGACATACTTATTCTCCTTTGAAGCACTAAGCACATTAATAAGCAAGTTTGGTGCTGCCTGCCTGCCCACTAGATTGTAAATTCGATAAAGGGACAAGATTGTGCTGCACAGCTCTGCATCCCCTGCACAGGTTCATGCCTGACACAAAGCAAGCACTGAATAAACACTTGTAAAATGAATGAATGACACCTAATGGAGTTATTCTTTCCACAATCTGGATGCCATTTTATTATTAGCTTCCCTCACCCCCAGAAACTATAATACAGTCATTGAGTAATTGTCAAGTAGCCTGGTCTTGAAGATACAAACTTGAATGATTAGCCAAGTCCTGAAGAAGTTACAGACTAGTGGAACAGACAAAAGTGTAAAACCATAAATCCAAAACTGTATTGGTAAAATAGGTTTGTATAAAGAACAATGGGAGAGAGAGACAGACAGGCATACAGACAGACACAAACTAACATGGCCTAGGGTAAGGGGAAGGAGGCAAGGAAACAGAATGCTTTCTGAGATGGCATTTGAGGAGAGAGAGCAGGACATCTCGATCTACTAAAAATTAGCTGCACATTAAGCAAGCCACTTCCCCCAAGTCTGTTCCTGAGCTTGTGACAGGAAGGGACCATGGCAAGCAATCTCTAGGGCCCACCCAGCCCTAAGAGTCTAAGATGTCAAGTCACTGATATTAATAAACACACCAAGTAGTTACTATATGTCAGGCAGCATGTTTAGTACCTATGAATTAGCTCACTTATTAATACAGATGCTGTAGTCAACTTATTTTTAGAGACATGAGGTAATTCGTCCAAGGGTCACTGAGGAAACCAGGCTTGCTCGAGAATTCTGATTCTACATGTCAGGTTCCTACAATGATGCTGTAACTTAATAATTATATCCTACCTGGTTAGAAAACATCATGTGGCTTGATTCCTATGATGAGTTGTTTTCTAGAAGGATATGCATCAAAATGTTATCTCTGAGTATGGCAATTATGGGTGAGATATTACCTTTTTCCTAAATTTTCTAAAATAAGTTTTTATTAGTAGTCAAAATACATCCTTAGAAAACATTTCATATAGTGTCAAGACATAACAGCTCAATTTAAGCTGTCAAAGTCCTTCCAATACCAGTCTATTAGCTCCCTGTCCTGAGTCCAGGCTACTGGTAAATCTGACCAGTGCATCCATCACTTCTATTGAAGACCTAAACTAAATGTAGATATAGACAAGTCCACTGTGGTTACTTGTATCACCTCTTAATTAATCCTTGTTTAATGTAGTGCTTTAAGCAATCATAAAACCAGATAATCTGTTCATTTACTGGACCCACTCAAGAAAGTTTTGGGACTTTTTTTTAGTTTTTTGTGTTGCTGGGGATGGAACCTAGAGCCTTACATGCTAGGCAATTGCTCTACCTCTGAGTTCATCCCCAGCTCCTCAGTCAAGCTTCACTAAAAACTTTCTTTCTACCTTTAGTTACTAGGCTCTACTTGACACAAGCACCCCATTACCAATCTACTACCTAAAATGGAGCTGCTTCTTTATTTTTTAATTACAGGCACTTATTAAATGCTTCTATGGGCCATAGAATTATCTCACTGAATTCTCACACTAACCGTATGTGAAGAGGAAACTATCTTTCCCATATACGGAAAGGAAAAGTGAGGTCCAGAGAAGTTAAGTAACTTCCCAAAGTCATTTGGCTAGTGTGTCCCCAAATCCCAGGTTTATCCTACTCCAAACCCAATACCTCTTCTCTGTATTCCTCCTCCCACAAGGATCCGGCTGTACCATTGGCTAGTCCAGGACTTATTACTTAACACCTAAACCCTAAAGGCTTACCTCCCTCAAACACAGGCATACACACAAATCACCAAAGACAATCTGGACAGTCGGTATTAAGTGGTGTGAGTTTATATGAAGTCAAAGAATTTCACCTTCAACACATTGCTTGACCTGAACTGACTCTATCTAGCAAATGACTTTTTTTTCAATGAAATTATGTACTTTTTAGGAAAAAGAAAGCAAACTCCAAACTTTCCTTGGCACCGATTGTATCTTCCCTGCTCTTTGATAATTTACGATTTCACAACAGGCCTTCTGCGCTCAATTCCTCCTTTTTAAAAACAATCAGCTAACTACCCCTGTAAAAAAGCTTTCAGCTCCCTGACTGGGGTAAATGTCAAGGCATCTCTCCTCTCTCCAAATGAAGACATTATATTCATAAGCCGTATTTTTCTTTTCTCTCTACGCTGCACGTGGACGAAAATCTATCCCATTTATAAAAGCTCTTCAAAGACTCATCAGACTCCGATCCTCGTTCCTAAAAGAAACGACCCTTCCTTAGGATGGAGGAACTGGTTTAGAGAGGTCAAGTCCTGGCTTATGGCTCAGTCCCATCAGTTTAAGCTGGTAGGGTCAACTGCCTCCAAGCCCTAACCCTACCTGACTAGTCTTCCAACTAGTCGCAGGGGCCAGCCCCCGCTCCCGTCCCCGCGGCGTTCAGGTCCGAGACACGTGTTTCCGAGCGTCTCCTCCAGAAGCCGCCGGGAGCCCGACGTCCCCCCGTAACTCCGTGCAGGACTCGGACCTGACGGACCGGGGCGGCAGCTCGCGGCGCGTCGGGAGCCGGACTGGAACTCACCCGCCTCTCTGGGGCCAGGGGCATCCCGGAGCACGTCCTGGGGGCGACGGCCCGCGCTTCGGGTCCGTGGAGGAGCAATCCGCGGGCACCGGCCATGGCGGGGGCACGGGAGCCGCGGGCGAGCGGGACAAGGGCACCCGATCGACCACGTGGACGCGCGAGGACCCCGCGCGCGCGGCTGCCCGTCGAGCCCCGCCGCCCCTTCCGGGTTCGGAGGCCCAACCTCTCGCGAACCGCCCCAGAAGGCCTGCCGCGCTCTGGGGCAGCCGGGACGGCGACGCCGGCGCGCGGGCAGCGGGTGCCAGATCTCACTCGGCCCGCCTTTACGCTGAGTGCTTCTGAGACACAAGAAGAGGCCCCCACGCCGTCCAACCGAAGCGTCCGTCTTTTGTAACCAATGCGTAGCTTGATGCCCGGCAGAGTCCCCAACAAGGCCTGGAGCTAGGTGGCCAGGCCCTCGGAGTCCTGGAGGCTCCTGGTCCCCGCGCCCTCCCGCGGCTGAGTCCCCGCGCTTTGCCTCTGCCTGCCTGGGAGGGCGCGCTTTCTACACAGGCATCTCCGTGGCCACCTGGCAGGGGCTGCGTCGCCTGGCAACGGCGGGGTCCTTCCTGGCTCCGCGGCGCTTCGGGGCCTGAGGGGAGAAAACCGCCGCGCAGGGCGCTGGGGGCGGCGGCCGAGGTGCAGAAGGCGGCCGCGGGACAGCGACGCGGGCTCAGCGCGCCCGGGGAGCCCGCTTCTGCACCTGAGGGAACATGAACGCGGCGGACGAGGCCCGGGTGGGGCCCGCGACTGACGGGCCTGCACCTCCGGGGGCGGGGGGGGAGGAGGAGGGCGAGGGGGGCGGGAAAGAGCCGGCGTTGAACGCGGCTCCCGGGCCCAGCGCTGCGTTCCGCCTCATGGTGACTCGGCGGGAGCCGGCCGTGAAGCTGCAATATGCCGTAAGCGGCCTGGAGCCGCTGGCCTGGTCGGAGGACCACCGCGTGTCGGTGTCCACGGCCCGCAGCATCGCGGTGCTGGAGCTCATCTGCGACGTGCACAATCCGGGCCAGGACCTGGTGATCCACCGCACCTCGGTGCCCGCCCCTCTCAACAGCTGCCTCCTCAAAGTAAGTGACCCCCGGGCCCCGGCCCTGGGGTCCCTTCCCGCTTCTCTCCAGCGTCATCCGTCCCAAGGGAAGCCTGGCCCGCACCTGGTTCGGGGTTCCCCTCGTATCCAGCTTTGGGGATTATTAAGGGGCCAGTGTCGTCGCAGCTTTAAAAAAAAAAAAAAAAGTCTTACAGGTGTCTGCGGTGTTGCGGAATCGCCCCTACCCCATACACACAGGAGACCCCCAGATCGCGCCCACCCTTCCCTCGCCCCTGCGTCTGGCGGGCCGCTAGCGCTGCCTGCGCGGTGCGCTGCCTGAGGCTCCGCCCCCTGTCGACCCAACCCCAGACCTGCCTCGGCCGTGGCTCCCATTGTCTGGGGCCGGCTCCCCCGGCTCCCGGCTGGCTTTGTTTACCGTGTGGGGCCCTCCTCTCGCGCTTCTCTGGCGTTGGAGAGGAGAAAGCGGCCAATCCATTGTCTCACCTGTTTGAGCAGTTTCGCTGTGTATGGTCGTCCTGGGTCTCACCTTGGACGGGTAGGGAAATACTGCCTGGTACTCAGGTGGTGGTGGTGGTGGTGGTGGTAGTTTTAGCTAGCTAAAAATCTTTAGGATCTGTAGGAGGAAAAAACCCTCTGGAAACACATGATGCAGTGCTTAAACGTCAAGTCCAAGTCTGTAAACTTGCTGCTTTCAGTTTCAGATAACCTGTTTGCCTCAGAACTTTAGCGTTTCTAAAGTTTTACTGTCTTAGTGTCACCATTTGCAAACTCGCTTTTTAAAAAAATAATGAGCCATGTTGTTCATTTTAATAGCTTAGAAATACAAGAACTTTCTATATTTCCTTTTTGGGTACACATTCATCAGTGAGTGAATAGGTGCGGTGCCAACTTTGGTTCTGGAAATAAAGCAGTGTACAAAACCAAGTTCCTACCCTCATGGAGCTTATGTTCTTTGGCACGACAAAGAGAATGTAATATCAGGAAGAGATGAGTGCTATAAAGATATCTATCAGTATACAGAAAACATGGTCCTTTGAAAGAAAGGTTTTTCTAAACTCTTAACTCTGGACAGCCATTCCAAAACTAAGTCACTAGATAGAGGGCTGATAGCCTACATCACTTTTTAGCATATTTAAGTTTCAAACACAACTTCAATGTTGAATTAAGTTTTGTTTTGTTGTGTTTTTAAGGCAGGATCTCACTTTGTAGGTCCAGCTGGCCTTGAACTCATTTCCAGCCTCTTCCTCCCTAGTACTGGTATTACAGGCGTGCACCGCCACACCTTGCTTGAGTTAAGTCATTAGTAAACTTGAGTGACCAAAGCCTCTAAGATCTAGAAGGAGGTGTAAATGAATTGGTTCAAGTGTAAAATCAACTAGACAGATGCTGGCAGTGCCATGAAGTTGAGACACATGCAGGAGGGAAGCAGGAGGATGTTCTAGAAGGTGTAGCCTCTGCTGAAAATAACTTACTGTTTCCAAGGATGCTCATATGTGCAGCAATTAGAGAAAAGTATGTGTCTGTATGACAGAAGTTGAATACGTTAGCAGAGAGTTAAAAGGAAGGAATAGTGAGGTGAGGCACTTACATCAGGAAAGGTCACCTGCTGAGGAATCTTTAAAAGTCCTAAGAGAAGGAAGGTTTGGTTTGTCAGAGGAAGGGAAGAAAGGGCCTCCCATGTGGCAGGAATGAGGTATCCATCTCATGCACAAACATCTTTAAGTTATGGGCATAACTGTTGCTTAGATAAGTAATGATGAATCGAGTAGTTCTTCTGGAGTCAGGGAAAGTATATGAGGCCAGTTTGAGAACTATGGGGAAGTGGACCTCAGTTCAGGAAACCCCTTAGGAGGTGTTTTCAATCTCCTAAACCTGGATGGTTTAGGAATATGAGTCTGCCTGGGCTACAGGCAGCCAGATGATTATTGGGACCAGAATAAAATAGGAGTTCAGAGGGTGGACTTGAGTACTAGGAAGGCCTATTCATAAAAGAGGAAGAATAAAGCCTACTTTGTTCAGGTTTCTTGGAGGGTTAAATTCCATACATACACACAAAATGACTTACCATTATCACTCAGTTCCTGGCACTGAGCTTATGTAAATGCACAAGTTAAGAAGATAATTCAGCCATGCAGGTAGGGAATAAATCTAGATTAATGATGTATGAGGATGAAGACTATATCCTTAGGATTCTGATAAAAATTGACTCTCATTTTGCCACATTTCATGTATGCCACAGCTGTTTGAATGGTGACAGAAAATCCTTCTGTGACACTCTACTTGATGAAGAGCTTCATTGAGAGGCTTTGGGGTAAAACTGATGTAACAGTGGTGCCAAAAAAGTCCTTTTGATGTACTACCAGTTGGCGTCTCAGGGATTTAAATCTGGGCAGTGCTGTCCAGCTTGCCTTTGCTCTACCCAGGTGACTGCAGCCTGCAACCTAGATCAGTTTCACTGTGAAGCACTGCTAAGAGGCTAGGTACTGAACCCTTTTGAGACTTCTGCTCTGTGATTCAGTTGTTTAAATTAGGGATTTCTTTTAGGAAAATCTGCAGTTAAATAACAGTTCAAACAATCATTATCAGCTATGTAAGTTACTGTCTTGGATGCTGAAGCTATATGATACAAAGGTGAATGATAAGAATCTGGAAAAGCAATAAAATACTTAAGTTTTCTTCCCACTGGACTACTGATTTAGTGTATACTGAGTTGTATGCAGTTCCAAATTCTAGTTATACTTGTGTTTCTGATTGTATTGTGCATCAGTTGTTAGGAACTTTGAAAGTATTACCTCTGTCTACTACATTAAGTAACTATTGCCTCTATTTAGAACCAAATTCCCTGCTGTCCAGAAGCTTCATTTGTTAGATTCTTGTGGAATACTTAACTGTTATTATGAGTAGTCAACCCAAAACCTGATACTGTGCTGTTAAATGATTGACTTCAAGCAGGACTCCGAGATCTAGACTATAGTAGTATGTTCCTTGATGCTTGCTTTAATTTGTTAGAGCAAGTTTCGTGATAGAGTTGGGGCAGGTGCGCTAATTCAGAAGTATTAGTGTGATAGAAATTACTACAGAAACCACCAGGCTTTTCCCTACCGGTGAAGACCCATGCTGCCCTCCACCCATCAAGAGTTCTTCCTACAGTGAGTGGGACTGAAGGTTTCTTGAGCTTCCTTTATTTCTTCCTAGGCTGCTGCTTTGGGTTACAAATTCTCTAAGTTTACTTTTAGTTCTGTCTACATTGGCTTTTATTTTAGTAAATTTCACTATGCTAAGGATTATTACATATTCACAATATTGTAGGATTCAGTGACTGATTTTTTTATCTACCCCGCACTGTAGGTCTCATTAACAGTTCCTCAGTCCTCAGGACTAACGTTTACTGAGTGCTTACTAACATACATTTTACACATTCTGACTGATTTAACCTAAACTGTACGTGATGTGTGTTACTACGCTTTTCATACATAGGGAAATTAAGGCCAGAAGATTTGTGATTTGCATGCAGTTATGGAGCTAGCCTGTAATTGAGCCAGCTTTTGTAGTGAACACAGGTAGTCTGGCTTCATAGCACAGATGTTCCATTGTAATGCTGTGCTTCATGTGTCGGATTATGTCTGTCCATCCACAGCTCAGGCTTACTTTAATACCCAGCTAGCCACCTGTACCTCTATATCAGTCTGTGATTTTCCAGTGGATCCTGATGTGTCCAAGAAACAAACTTAAATACAGTCCTAAAATCAGGATATGCTGCCTAAAGCACCATTTGCAGAGTATTCTTTAGAATTATAAAGGATAACAACTTTCTGAAGAGGTTATACTTCAAAAAAAGAAAAAGTTTGGCCAACTCTGGTTAAACAAGTCTCTACAATAGTTCCCTGACCAGGGCATTTCATGAGCTCCAGTGACTTCAAGGAGGAATTATGTGTAATGTTTAGCATTTCCAAAACAATTTGTCCACAGAACTCTCTCAAAGAACAGTTTGGGGAGTAGCGTTCTGTGAATCACTTTAAGAAAAGTTAACCGACCAAATTTCGTTTTATGTACCTGTCTATTATGCTGTTTGGCAGTTTTAGCTGAAAAGAGACAATAAGATTACATTAGTCCAGTCCTTTGCTAATTTCTAATGCCCACTGTTCATTTGTATTTATAATTCATTTAGGAGGACTTCTAATTAGACTTCATAGTCTGTGTGTTTGCCATTTGTGGCATCTTTTTTTTTTTTTGGTGGTAGTGGTGGTACTGGGGTTTGAACTCAGGGACTTGCATTTGGTAGGTGGCACTCTACCCCTTGAGCCATGCCTCCAACCTCTTTTTCCCCTCTGGTTATTTTTGAGATAGGGTCTCACTTTTTGCTGGCCTGGATTCAATTCTCCTGTTTCATACTTCCTGCTGTAGCTGGGATGACACATATGTGCCATCACACCCAGCTATTGGTTGAAGTGGGGTGTTGAAAACTTTTTGCCTGGGCTGGCCTCAAACCATGATCCTCCTGATCTCAGCCTCTCAAGTAGCTAGGATTACAGGCATGGGTCACTGGTATCCAGTTTGAGGCATCTTAACTATTTATTGCAACCTGCTATTCTGACACATCTCTAGTCATCCAGGCTTTATCTAGGATATAGGTAATGTTGCTGAGCTACTATTTTCCAAGTTCCTAGAGTGTCTAGAGTGTAATTCTTCTGCGGTTAGGAACTTGAATTCATTTATAGTGATTTTATTATATCCGTGTGTCTTAGACTTGAACTCCCTTTTAATCCTGTTCTCTCCTTTCCAATTTGAAGATCAACCTCTACTAGAGGAGGTAAACTCTAAAAAGGAATTGCTTTCTTTTATCTATTTCTCTATAAAGGCAATAGATCAAGTCAGTCTCCCTGCTTCTAGCATAACAGAAACCATCTTTTGATTGACCTCTGCTCTTTTTTGGTCTTAGCCTTCCTAGCTGTTCCTCCATCTTTAATGTCCCTTTAAAATCTTTTTTAAAGAGCTTGTTGTGATACAACTGCACACTGTTGATATGTATCGTGGACCTTATCAAGGAAGAGATGAATAAAAGCTGGAAGGATCTCAAGGCCTTCTAGAGAAGGACTGACCTGGTAGGATAGGTGGGAAAGGGTAAGGAGTATGCATGGGAACCAGGAAAAGCAGGGCTCATAATATTCCCAAACTGTAGATAGAGTAGTCTAATTTGAACCATCCTATACTATGGCAAAAGCAGACAGCACTTGGTGTTGGCTCTCGGTGTATTTGTTAATGGAAAATGCAAATTTAAAAAAGCCTAACTGTAAAGGTATTGTAAAAATCTAATTGTATCAAATATGGATATAGATACATATTTCATAAACTTTAACTATTTCTATTGTTTTGTGACTACTCAGCTAAGTACCCTGTTCACTCTTAAGAATCAACTACATTTCCATTCCTTATGTCAGTTCTAAGAAGAATGTGGGAACTAGGCTATTAATGATGACAACATTTAGTCTGATCCTTTAAAAAACTGCCTTTCTTTTTTTGAGTAAATACTCATGCTATCTTTAGACATGTACTTGATCTTTTATTTTTATTTATTTATTTGTTTTTGGTTTTTTGAGATATAGCCACGATTCTCCTGCCTCAGTAGGATCACAGGCATATGCCACCATACCCATTTACTTGATCTTTTAAAATGTATGTCACGTCAAAAATTAACAGAATTCATATTGTGTATATTGATATGCATTAGTAATTCAGGTGAATATTTATCTGATAGATTCTGTATCTTTTATTTTCAGGTTGGCTCAAAAACAGAAGTTGCAGAGTGCAAGGAGAAATTTGCCAACTCTAAAGACCCCACCATCAGCCAAACTTTCATGTTGGACAGAGTGTTCAACCCCGAGGGGAAGGCCTTGCCTCCCATGCGTGGGTTCAAATACACCAGCTGGTCTCCCATGGGCTGTGATGTGAATGGCAGGTGCCTCTTGGCAGCACTGACCATGGACAATCGCCTGACTGTCCAGGTGAACCTCAACAGACTCCAGTGGGTCCAGCTGGTTGATCTGACTGAGATTTACGGAGAACGTCTTTATGAGACTAGTTACAGGTTCTCTAAAAACGAAGCACCAGAGGGAAACCTCGGGGATTTTGCTGAGTTTCAGAGGAGGCACAGCATGCAGACCCCAGTCAGAATGGAGTGGTCAGGCGTCTGCACCACTCAGCAGGTCAAGCACAACAATGAGTGCCGAGATGTTGGCAGTGTGCTCCTGGCTGTCCTCTTTGAGAATGGCAATATTGCTGTATGGCAGTTTCAGCTGCCATTTGTGGGAAAAGAATCCATCTCTTCTTGCAACACAATTGAGTCAGGAATCAGCTCTCCTAGTGTTTTATTTTGGTGGGAATACGAGCACAATAATCGGAAAATGAGCGGCCTTATTGTTGGGAGTGCTTTTGGACCCGTAAAAATTCTCCCTGTCAATCTTAAAGCAGTCAAAGGCTATTTCACTTTAAGGCAGCCTGTTGTCTTGTGGAAAGAAATGGACCAGTTGCCTGTGCACAGCATCAAATGTGTTCCTCTTTATCATCCCTACCAAAAGTGTAGCTGTAGCTTAGTGGTGGCTGCAAGAGGCTCCTATGTATTTTGGTGTCTTCTTCTGATCTCCAAAGCAGGTCTGAATGTCCACAATTCCCACGTCACAGGCCTTCACTCACTGCCCATCGTCTCTATGACCGCAGACAAGCAGAATGGAACAGTGTATACTTGTTCCAGTGATGGGAAGGTGAGGCAGTTGATTCCCATTTTCACAGATGTTGCATTAAAGTTTGAACACCAGCTGATTAAACTCTCAGATGTCTTTGGCTCAGTGAGGACTCATGGGATAGCAGTGAGCCCCTGTGGCGCATATCTGGCCATCATTACGACTGAGGGCATGGTCAATGGCCTCCATCCTGTTAACAAAAACTACCAGGTCCAGTTTGTTACTCTCAAAACCTTTGAAGAGGCGGCTGCTCAGCTGCTGGAATCTTCAGTTCAAAACCTCTTTAAGCAGGTAGATTTAATAGACCTAGTACGCTGGAAGATTTTAAAAGATAAACATATCCCTCAATTTTTACATGAAGCTTTGGAAAAAAAGATTGAAAGCAGTGGGGTCACCTATTTTTGGCGTTTTAAGCTTTTCCTCCTGAGAATTTTGTATCAGTCAATGCAGAAAACCCCTTCAGAAGCCTTATGGAAACCCGCCCAGGAGGACTCAAAAATCTTGCTGGTTGACTCACCTGGGATGGGGAATGCTGAGGATGAGCAGCATGAAGAAGGCACTTCTTCCAAGCAAGTGACTAAGGTAGGCCTGCAGGAGAGGAACAAAGAGGGTGATGCAGAGGAGCCCCCTGATGACTTGCTCCCTCCCGTGGGAGATGCCAGCCATGAGCCTATAGAAGAGAAACTTCTTGAGATCCAAGGGAAAATTGAGGCTGTGGAGATGCACCTGACCAGAGAGCACATGAAGCGAGTCTTAGGAGAAGTGTACTTACACACCTGGATCACAGAAAACACCAGCATCCCCACCAGGGGACTCTGTAACTTTTTGATGTCAGATGAAGAGTACGATGACAGAACGGCACGGGTAGGTGTTCCTTAACAAAACTGTGGGTACTGTGAATGGTCTGCTTTCTTTGTGAGAGAAAAATGAGCTGGGTTGAATTTATAAAACTCAACTTTTGCTTTGGCATTTTTGAGGTAATCAATTGGCATGAGGTGCAAGAGAATGAGTAGAAAGTATGGATTAACGCCCGAGGCACTCATAACAGACAAAGAATGTTTCAGTTCTTCCTCTGACACACAGTGCTTGGCAGATGAGATTTCCAGGCTGGGGATGAACTCAGGGAGGCGCACTTAGCAGAGTAATGTGTGATGGGGAGTCATGGCAGTGTACTCGCCTACCTATGCTCCCTTTCATCTTGTTTTCAGATGTTCTAGTGAGGGCACGTTCTCCATGTCAGAGGACTAAGGAAGTCTTCTGATTTCATCAAGGAGAGCATAAAAGGGAAAATTATCCACATCTCATTTTTACAGAAACTGGGCATTATCTTTGTTTTGGTAATGGAACAATCTTACAGTATTATCTAAAATGTATGCCATAGGATACAAGGTCCCTAAGAGGCCACTAAGGTTCCAGGCGGAGGGAATAGTGCATGTCCTATTCTCCTGTTAAAGATTCCCAGTGCACATTATCTTTCTGTGGGCTCCGAGAATTCCTGCAGAAAAGGAACTGTTACCTTTGTCACCTCACTTCTTGGTCAGGGAAGCATTCCTGGAGCTGCAAAAATCCTGAAGAACTTCAGTTCCAGACAGTACGCTGTATGCTCAAATATTTACAGCCACAAAGTCTGTTCGTTGTTACTCTGAAGATTGACATTTATTCTCACTGCCTAAAGTTTTAAAATATTAATTGAAAACAAACTGAAATACCTTTATCCCTAATATTAAATCATCCACAAATCACTTGTTGCATTTTATTGTTGGAAAATGAATTTTCTGCACCCCGGAAATTACTGTTCATGGGATGTTTGCAGTGACCTTAAGGTTAGTTATGATGTACTGGCCATGTAACTGACTTTTGTTCTTTAAAAGTCAACTTTTAAACTTTGTTTCCTGTGTTCTAAATTGTCTGGAAGAGAATTCTGGTTTCCACTGTGTCATGAGACTAGTTAGGATTATGTCAGTGAGACATTAGCAAAAAAACATTTTAGAAAATAAGGATGAAGTTTGTTTTTATTGGCTTAGACTTCTTGTCCAGATGCTGTGGGATCTTGTGTTTAGCATGGTTACATTGTTCTAGTAGAGCCAGTTTTAAAACCTGGAAAGATTGTACCCTACTCTACCCTTCTATAGCAGCTGAATTCTCATTGAAGATAGTCTTAAAAATCATGTCTTAAAAACCTAACTGTGTATAAGATGAAGCCCTTTTTAACCTAGGATGTTGATTTTACTAGTAGTTATAAGTCATTTCTCTGCCTGGCACATTGGTATAATTGTATTTCTCAACCTTCCTTTTTTTTTTTTTTTTTGTTCAAACTTCTCCTGGAGCATTTTTAGACATGTTTTTCTCATGATTGCTCCTGCCCATGAAGTGATAATGCCACAGATAATTTGCTTATGTACTGTATGTGTATCTGTGCTTTGCAAATGAAAAGATTAAGAACTTTTTGTCTCCTGAGAACCAGAATTTATCCCAAGGACTGATGCCCCTGTCAGGAGTGTGTGAGTCAAACTAAACGGTTGCCATCCATAATCAAGACCACCGAAATAAAACTAAGACTCATCCCTGCTGGAGATGAGCCACCTCCATCACTGCACCACTACTGGGATGTTTGGCTTTTCTAGAGAGGAGGAATACGGGTGTGCAGGGTCATAAATTAGAATTCTTAAGGCTTGAAAACAAAGAGACCAAAAGTTAATGGGATTTAAATTTGTAAATTACATGCAGAAGAGGTGAGGTAACTGGCTCATCAACTTCAAGATATCCTTTGAAAGATACCCTTGAAACTAAAGGGAATTAATTTTAGTGAATTAACCCAAAATCCAAAATCTTGTGGATTCTTCCATAAGAGTTACTTAGGTATAAATGCATTCAGAACTTTGAAGGACACTATCTGCTAGTGAGAGAAGATGGTTCTTAAGGGTTGGCATATCCCATGCCTCCCAGCAGCATAGCCAATGAAGTTTTTGTATTTTTTTTTCAACAAAATAATGAAGTAGATTTGGGTTTTTTTGTTTTGTTTTTAAAGGATGTAATCTTAACAAATCAGAGAAAAGCAAAGCTGACATAGGGACAGGATATAGTTACCTGTCTCTTTATACCACCTTTCTCCCATGGTGGCTCTTGTCATGCCTGTAGTGGGGTCTGTGGATCTCAGGGTACTGAACTAAATTGATTATGGGTGACCTCTGGGACATCAGAAGGGTAAACTGTTTTTTTTTTTTTAAACCTGATTATCCTTTTATTTCATAAGCCTTCCCCTGCCCCCTTATTTTTCTTCTTTTTGGAGGTGATGGGATTTGAGCTCAGGGCTTTTTGTGCTTGCTAGGCAGGCACTCTTCCACTTGAGACACACCTCCAGCCCTTCATAAGCCTTTCTTAAAGACTAGACATTTATATACTCCTACAAAGTTAGCAGTATTGCACATAATATTTTGCCTACTGAGATCATGATTTTTTTCTTCTTGAAGTCAAAGTGTTATAAATAATAGCTAAATACCTGTTTCTAACAGAAATATATTCAGAAGCACCTAAAAAAGGGAAGTGATGAGACTCTGGTTTTCAGAATAGCTTTATCTTAGTGGTTTTAGTTCACCCAGCTATTGCAAGGTACCTGAATGCACTTACCTTATTTAGCTTTTTGACACAGATTGAAGGTCCAGCCTGTCTTTTCAGACAGCAAGCTTTGCTTGTAGAAGTGCACATCTCCTGTCTCTTGCACATTCCTGCATGTTTTCCTCTTTACTTCATGTTAGCAGACTTTGCTTCTGGAGACCCTGTGCTCACCAGTCTGCTGCCTGCCATGTCTCACCAGGTGCTGATTGGACATATCTCAAAGAAGATGAACAAGCAGACCTTCCCTGAGCACTGCAGTCTGTGTAAGGAGATCTTGCCATTCACAGATCGAAAACAGGCTGTCTGTTCCAATGGACACATTTGGCTCCGGTAAGCCATTCTAAAGCTTCAGCTATCACTCATTTCTCATTTTTGTGCGGCACAAACCACTGTAGAGTGTGTGTCCAAGTTATATACTGCCCAGGCCATCACAGAGGAAAGCTGCAACCTAAAGCCTGGAATGGATGCTTCACCAGTCTGCCTGGAGCCAGATGACTTCAAGGGCAGATTTACAGCTTGACAGCAGGCCTTCCCGTGTACTTTGATTATTTCCTTTGTAGTTGTGTTCCGCTTTAAAAGGTATTACTACAGATAATACCTGAAGTCAATAAGTTCACACACTTTTTTTGTTTGCTGATTTTCATTATAAAAGGTAGAAGCCTTCTTCCTCCTCTCTCCTTGGTCTTGCTATAAGAGGTAACTTTGGTGGGTTCTCATTTTACTAGACCTGTGAGCTATATGACACAATCTGTCACTCCTGCCTCCAGTATACTGTACTCCCTGGTTTTCCTCCTGCCTTGAACTCTGTTCCCAGTTGTGTTTGCTGATTTTGCTTCATCTTCTTGATGTCTGTTCTTATTGCTGATCCTCCTCTATCAGCACTCTCTTTGGGGGTTGCAGGGGGTGGGGTTGTCCCATTGGCTGCACATGGACAAGTCTGTGTCTCTCCCTCAGTTCAAATCCATGTATCTATCTAACTTCCTGTCTGCCTGCCCAGCATCCTTATTGGGTTTTTACTAGGCACTTTACCTGGAATCCAGCCTTTTCTCACCATCTCTACCTCTGCAATCCTGGCCCAATACACGGTCATCTCTTACCAGATGATTGTAGCAATATTCCACCTGGTTCCTTTTCAGTATAATCTCTGTATAGTGATTGTGGTCAGACTCTGTCCTCAGAACTCTGCAGGAGGCTGGGGATGTAGCTCAGTACACAGCACCTTCCTGCCATGCCAAGGCCCTAAGCTCAGTCCCAGCACTGCAAGAAGTAAAAGCCTTTCCAGTGGCCTGCCTGTTTCTAACAGGTAAAAGCTAAAGTCCTTTCAGTGACCTGCAAGCCTGTTCACAGCCTGAGCCCTTCTTCCCCTACTCCCTGCTCATCTCAGTTTCTCCATCCTGCTCTCTTCATTCCAGGAACTGGCCTCATTCCTTAGGTACATGAGGCAGCCCTCCCACTTAGCACTTCTGCACTGGCCACTCCTTCCACCTGGAGTGTCCGTTCCAGCAGATATCCACATGGCCACCTCAGGTGTCACTTCTCAGTTAGGCCTTCGTTGCCGTTCTGCCTAAAGATGTAGTACTCTGCTGATACCCCTCCCCCCCCCCATGTTCTGCATTCCTCTTCCTTGCTTCATTCTTCCCCTTAACAGTCATCACTGTGTAATATTTTGTTTGTTTCTTTCTTTTTAGTGTACTCTTCCTCTGGACTCAGAAGCACCAGGAGGACAGAAACTTTTGTGTTTTGTTTACCAGTTTCTAAAAATTCCTGGTACATGGGAGGTGTTCACTAAATTTACACTTACTGCAACTGAAACAGGACATGTGTCTTCTTAACATGCCAGTTCTGTTATCACGAGATCATGAACATATTTTAGCATTAGTATAAAGATCCTTTTTTTTCCATGCCCTCAGCCTTTTTTGCTTTAGTTATTTTTTAAATAGGGTCTCACACCTAGACTTCCTGCTGTTAAGGAGGAAGTTGTAAATGGTATGGCTTTGGCTAATCCGCCTATCTTGTGAATGTCCTGTTCATCATTGAGGCTATGGATAATAGATCGTGAGCATATGAACAGTATTGCTTTAAAGAACGGGTGATTGCAGATATGGAGAAAGGATAGGTAAGGTTGGTTGATCCCAAGGGTAACTATTATTAGGCCCAATTGACTAGAGGTTGAGAATGGAATAATTTTTTTAATATCATTCTGTGATATTCGCAGATTGCTGTGAAGAGGGTTGTGATAGCTCTTAGGCATAATATGGTTGATAGAACTAGTTGATTAGATTCTAGGAGAGGATGGAATCGGATTAGAAGAAAGATTCCTGCTACGACTATTGTGCTTGAGTGAAGTAGGGCTGACACTGGTGTTGGGCCTTCTATGGCTGAAGGGAGTCATGGGTGAAGTCCAAATTGGGCTGATTTTCCTGTGGCAGCTAATAGTAAGCCTAGCAGGGGGATAGTTATTAGGGTCTATAAATAGTTGTTGTAGGTCTCATGAATTAGAATAGATTAAAAATCATGCTGTTGATAGGATAAACCCAATGTCTCTGATTCGGCCAGCCTGGCCTGGCCAGCCTAGACTGTGATCCTCTTACTTATGCTTCCCACATAGATAAGATGATAGACATGTGCCACTTTTATTGGTTGAGAGGGGGGGTCTTCCAAATTTTTTTTGCCTGAGCTAGCCTCAAACCACAATCCTCCCAGTCTCTGCCTCCCAAGTAGCTAGGATTACAGGTGTGAGCTACCATGCCTGGCTAAAGATCCTGTTCTTAATGGCTATAGACTTTTTTTTAATCATGTGGATGGATGCTCATTAATTATTCCCTTATTAATGGGTGTTTTTTTTTTCTAATTTGACTGTTTAGACTTTTTTAAAAGGGGGATTAATAGGAAACAAGCTCAGTAGATTTTAGGTTTGTAATAAAAGTGACATTTCACTGGATGCCAGTAACTCACAGCCTATAATCTTAGCTACTTGAGATGCTGAGATCAGGAGGATCAAGGTTTGAGGCAAGAACAGGCAAAAAATTCACAAGACCCCATCTCAATCAATAGCTGGGCATGGTGGCACATATCTGTCATCCCAGTGACAACAGGAAGCTCTAAAATAGGAGAATCATGGTCAAGGCTGGCCTAAATAAAAAGTGAGACCATGTCTCCAGGATAACCAGAGCGAAAAGGACTGGGGCGTGGCTCAAGCAGTAGAGTGCCTGGCAAGTGTGAAACTACCCCAGTATTTCCAAAAGAAAAAAGAAAGACATTTCTCAAGCACTGTCAGTATGTACAAGCAGCAGCACACAGTATCTTCACAGTGGCCACAAGCAGGAGGCATGGTGTTACTTCCGTTTTACAGAGGGGGACACTAGAAGTGAGAAAGCAGAAGAATTTGCCCAAGTCCAACCAGTGGTTGATGGCAGAGCTTGGAGCCTGCCTTCTGGCTTAGGTCCTCATGTGTCATCCCTGCACCTTGATGCCTTCCAGAGTTGTGGGATCTTTACTTTTCCATTTTGCTGATTAAAGTCAGCACCAGATACCTTGGTGTAATTTCTCTCTATGAGAGTGGTGCTGGCTGTCTGAATTACCCCGGTCTTTACCCAAGGGAAACTTGCTTGGAACCCTTTCCCTAACCTCCTCTGTTTTGCTGTGTACTTTCTACCCCTTAGTTGCTTACTGCCTTTTGGGAAGTCTTCCTCCAGAGGCCCTGCTTGCTTTCTCATTCTACTGCCTGCCCCATTTCCCTGGTCTTGGTGGGTGCTCAAGTGAATGCTCATTGGATGGAATTGAACCTATGGACACTTATTAGTTTCTTTTCTTTTTTAAACATGTTAAGAATTTAGAGTAATCAGGGAGGGACAGACTGAATTCTTTTCTAATATTTTAATCACAAAACTGCAGTGACTTCTGGATTTGAACCTTTGTATCTCTTCACTTAATGACAGGGTACAGTCACTTCTCCTTCCGTAAGTGTGTGTGCAGGGGTGGTGTAGGCTTGGCCTACCCAGAGCATACGTGGTTGCCATAACCATCTGTGCTGGAGTTGCCCTCAACACCTGCTGCTTTCCCGGTGTTGGCAAGACTCAAGCAAGCCTCTCCCCTGACGGTACAGTCTTATCTTTCTGCAGGTGCTTTTTAACCTACCAGTCCTGCCAGAGCTTGATATACAGAAGGTGTTTGCTCCATGACAGTATTGCCAGGCACCCAGCTCCAGAAGGTGAGTGCCGTCTAGCCTTGAGAGCAGGGTCCAGGCAGCATGCCGGCACCCATGCAGTGACGAGCCAGGCTCCACACTGCTTCGGGTCCCGCTTGATGATAGAGCAGGCTTATTCCACTCTGTGGTTATCGTGAAGCCAGAACTAATGAGAAAATGGTCACATGCTGCATTTCAGTGTGTGATGAAGTGGGTCTGCCACTCCTGTCACTGCAGACCATCTCATATGCCCACAGCATTAGGGCTTGTTTCAGATGGCATACAGGGATTATGTATGAGCAACAACTCTGCAAAAGATACTGCATACAAAGACAGTGTTGCTGCATCCACACAGGATGCATGTGGAGTACTCACCTCTCTTCTAGAGGCCGCAATGGGTTTCTTCCTGCTTGGTCTGTGTGCTGTTTCCTAACACTCCTGGTGACAAAGCACATGTTTCTATTTCTGAGAACTAGCTAGTAGTAAGATCATGATGTGGGCAAGGAATCAGTGTTTATGAGCTGTTAGAACGCCAGTTTTGACCTGGACTTCATTAATATCTCACTATCCAGATAAGTAAAGTAGATACAAGCACACAGAATCATATACTGTATCTTTACTCTTATTGGAGGATGGCTCAAATGGCCCAAGTGGTAGGCAAGCACAAGGCCCTGAGTTCAAGTTCCAGTACTGCAAAAATAACTAAATAAAACAAAAACTATATCCTCTTCCCTTTTTTTGGTGGTACTAGGGTTTGAACTCTGGGCCTCATGCTTTTTAGGCAGGCACCCTACCACATGAGCCACTCCACCAGCCCCTGGTATCTTTATTCTTGATTTTTGCTCCAAACTGGCTGAAGCTCTGTAATTTTCACAAGTTGATACTGGCAGCTTGCGTTCTAACTTTTTATTGTGAAAGAACAGTCATACACAGAAGTAAGGCAAAGAGGTAATAAACCTGTGTCCCTGTCATTCATTCATCTTCAAAAGTGATCAGCTCACAGCTTTTTCTGCTGCATCCATTGTCCTCCACCGCCTTCTCCTACCAACCTAGTTTGAAACACATTTGGGAAGATTTTTCAACAGTCACTGCAGTTGAGAATTGATACGCTGTTTAGGCAGGAAACCTGGAGAAGATTGAAATTTGAAACCAAAAATCATACTATTGACTTTGGGTTAAGCCACTTCCGTATTTGGGGAGAATGAGTAGGTAGATGCAAGATCTAGAGTCAGCTGTGAAGCAGGACAGAGCATTTCACAGATCAGGGAGGAAGGATGGTCCATTTTCACCACAGTGCTATTTTTCCACGTAATGGCATTGTTGAAAAATGACTCTTACTGTCATTTTATGAGAAAATATTTTAATGTTAACAGTGTCTGCGCTGGGCATAGTGGAAGGCCTCTTAACAAGATCCGGTCTCAAAAAACTGTAAAACAATACACCCATACACAACCCTTATTTTCTTATTCTATCACATACTTTGCTTTGGGAACCACAAATTTAGACTTGGAAACTGAAGCCCAAAGGAATGAGATGCTCTGTCCAGTGATGCAAAGCCGGGGCCAGAATACCTATCTCTCCACGAGGTAATGTGGCACATCCATTTTGACAGCCTCTTCTGAGTCTGATGCTTGATCTGCTTGTCTTCCTTTTGTAGATCCGGACTGGATTAAAAGGTTACTGCAAAGCCCCTGCCCCTTCTGTGATTCTCCTGTCTTCTGAATGTCAGTGGTGGAGGATAGAAGGGCATGAACTCTGCTGTAGAGAGCACCGTGGAACCTGAGGAGCAGGTGCGCTGGAGGAATCCTGGCCCTTGCCAGTGGAGAGGTGCTCTTCAAGACTGTAAAGAGGACACGCCTCCCCGGGGTCTCATTTCCTAAGTGCATGTGCCGTTTCCAGGGACTACAGAATATCTTAAAATGGCTGAATACAGAGAATTTGAGTCATTTTGAGATGGACATCAGCCCCCAACTCCTTACCTGACAAGGAACACTTATTTTTCAAGTGTCTTGACTGAAGCAGTTTGAACAAAAAGACTGTTGTCCTTGTTTCTAGGAACCTAATGGTCTCTCCTAGAGAGACTATATTAAGGACCTTGCTGGGCTGAGTTAGGTTTTAATCCTTGCTTGGTCTGGGACTGCCTTGTGGCTCCAGAGAACTTAAGTTGACTGGCTGATACCTGGCATTCTGTATACCAACACATATTAAAAGTGTCTTAAAACAGTGTATGGGCTGGTGTTTTGCTCTCAGTAAATAGCCGTAGATCTGTTTCCCATTCTTGCATAAGAAAAACATTTTCCTAAAAGTGTATTTTTAAGAGATTGAAGCCAAGTCTAACATGGGTCTTAATGTGTGAGATGATCAGGTGACTAGAAGCTAATCATTGCGACTTACTTTTAATTCTTTGTCATCAGATTTCCTGACCCAGCTCCTTAACACGTACCAAGATGTCAGTCGAGTACTCCGCTTCCCTCCTACAGCCTTGTTTTGAACTCAGATGTGGTGACCTATTTGTGCATAGAAGAGGGAGAAATGTCTTCTTTCAGTATTAGATTGAAACTTCAGTATTTTTAATGTAGACATTTCCAGGCATTCCACTGATTATCTGGGGAGGCGTCTGTCCAGGGACTGCTGGACAGACAGGTAGGGAGTGCTGAGGCAGAGACCCTGGAGCTCTTCTGGTGGTACAGTGCATGCAGCTGAGTTGAGCAGAACCTGATAATTTAGAATGGTTATTTTTCTGTGGGCTATTAAGAGGAAACATCAGATGGCAATTTTGATTAATAGTTCTTAATCAAAACCTGAAGTTGACATTCTGGAATTACAGTGTTCTTAGATTTTTAAAGTAAGTGTCCTAAGGATTGGTGCTATTTACTGCACTGTAGTGGGCACATTTTTAAATGATACATATTTCTGGAAAGTTGGATGGGAAATACAAAATAAATTTTTACTCTTATTTCATGCTATTTTTTCTTCGCCTTTATTTTGACATTTTCCTGCTTTTATTTCATATCCTTAGTGAAAGACATTTGCACTTCTGAAGTAACATCTTGCTTGGTATTGGGTACCACTGTGAGAGACATGGACAGGCCACAAGCCACAGGCCACGCTTGGGCACTTCCCTACGTTGTTATGTGTTATGTCCTGGAGACCAACCCTAAGACACGTTGCCAGGCACTGCTCTGAAATGTCACATCTGTTCAGATCGTTGCTTTGTCTCCTGCATTTAATTATGCACTTGCTGGCGTCTTCTGCTTGTTTTTCTCATTGCAGAGGTAATTTCAAGAGAAGCATTTATCCAGATGGTAGGGGCCAGTGTGTTGATTTTTGAAGAAAGAGAACCAGGCAGCCTTGGAAGCATAAATACCACAATTGAGAACATTGAATAGCTGAAGCTATTCATGTCTGTCGCTGTTTCACTTTACAACAGACGACAGTAAAAACTGAGATCGTGTCAAGGACTTGTTGCAGTTTTGATAATCGTGGCATGCTTAGTTTCACTTATTTCTCTGTTCTTAGAGTTTGTAGGAGTTCTTTTTATTTTCCACCCACGGTAGGAGTTTTTATTGGGAGAATTTTGTGCTGTTGCTGTTTAATACTTACATTAGCTGCATTTTTATTTAAAGCAGTTGTATTTTTTTTTTTTTTTTGGAGAAAATTTAACAGTAACTAAAAAGAATCTCTGGGATCATTCTGTGTGTCTATGGGAGTAAACATGGCAACAGTTTTACTAGAGCCTTGATTCTCTGTAGGGCTTGGCCCAGTGGCCTTCTTCCCACCTTCTGAGGTATTCAGCCTCTGCCCACAGGGAGGTTCCCCCACCCCATAGACGTTTGTTAGTCCACAGAGCTGCGCGATCTGGAGGAGATTGGGGTTAATGGCGCCCTCACAAACACAGCGCACTTCTGAATCCTGTGGTTGCTGTTCTCGCCTATGCTTAGTATACCCTCGAGACCCTCCTAAAATTTGCCTGCTTTGTTGGGTGGGGTGCAAGTAGGTTTCAACTGTATTTTAACTGTATTAACTGTTTCAGGAGTGGGAGGAATAGTAGAGGTGACGTTGCTGTTCTGCGTGTAAAGTGCAGAAGCAAAGATTCTATACACTTAGACGACCTCGTAAGCTGCAATGCTGCTATAGTCGGGAGGTCTGATGCCCATATATGTAGCACGTTTTCTCTGTCCGGGCTTAATTTGTTCCTGTTATTCTAGATAAGTTGATAGCTTGTTAGGCTTAATACTCGTGCTGAACTCATGTCCACCATGCAGACTTCGGGCAATCTACCTACTATTGTATCTGCCAAAACTACCAATTATTTTTCAGTGTCAGAGTTATTAGAACCTCTGCCAAAGCTCATGCTTGAGTGTGACATTTTTCTGCTTTTCCTCTAAGAAGCTTTTGAGAATATTAATGTTGAAGTATATAGACTGGACCGATTAACAAGCTTAACAGGTTAATTAGGTTGAAAGAATGTTAAGGTTAGTAATTAAATATTAAAAATATTGTTTTAATTATAGTGCTATCAAGTAAGATACAGAAGATATTGGTGCTCATTAGGAGGAACACAGTGCTGGCTTGGTGAGCACCATACTGCACAGCAGCTCAAGTGCCTGGTGGGTTGGTGAGTTGCTATGGGCAGTTCCTGGAACAGGATCAGGAATCTGCTCTGTCCCCCCAGGTCCCTCCCACTGGACCAGCCCACTCTTTCTGCTCCTAACCTCACTCTTGCTGCTCATTTCTTTTTTGAAAGAAGGGTGAACTAGTGATAAAATTTCTAAGTGCTAAACCATGTGGAGCAGGTTGTTTCTCTTCCTAGAAGACAGTAATACTGTTTTCTGAAGGTAGCAGTGTTAGTTAGCTTGGTGGGTTGTATTTGGTTTTTTTTGTTGTTTTGTCGGTTGGTTTTTGGCAGTACTGGGGTTTGAACTCAGTGCCTTACACTTACTAGCAGGCACTCTGCCACTTGATCACTCCACCAGCCTTTCAGAACTTCTAATGGCAATGTCCTGGTCAGTAAGTGTGGGTTGTATGGCAGGCTGAAGGGTGCTGGAGTCCAGCTCCTTGCTGCCAAAACCCCCAACCTCCCCTACCCCCTATTCCCTGCCAGTATTATTTTTCACAAGCAGAAATTCTGGTGAAAGTGGAGCTGAATTGGTTATGTTCAGCGTCAGCACAGACAGCACATAGCCAAACAGATAAAGGAACCTCTTTATAATTAGCATGCCATGGACTGTCTGGAGTCAAGGCTTTAGTGGCCCAGCCTGATGTCTTCATGCACTCATACTGTTCTTACCAGGGTGTTGGAGGCAGCTAGCAACAGTGTGACTGTCTCCCTCAGATTTAAAAGACACCTCTAAAGGATCTAACCAAAATGGCCACAACAGACTTTAGACTATGCCTCAAAGCTGTTACAGATATTAAACTTTGGACTGCTTTTTCTTGAATCTAAGAGATTTTTTAAGTCAATATCTGCTTATGTCTGCTGTTCAGCCTAAATGCAGAACATGTGAAATGAGGTCTGAACTGGAATTAAACTAAACTTAATTCCAATTGCTCCAACTAGCTAAAGTGCTATAGCAGCAAAGTTTTCCTACGATTGTGAACTCATTCCATGGTACCAGTATCTGCTGCAGATACTGTGTGTGCACACTTGGGAAGCTGAAGCAAGTGGATCATGAGTTCTAGACCAGCCTGTACTGACCAGCAAGACCCTGTCTCAACAAAACAAGATAGGCAGTATGAGTACGTGTTAGTAGGCAGGGTCTCCTGGGTAGGCTGCCACCCCCCCATCTGCTCATGGCTTGTGGACATCAGTAACTTTAATCAGAGGAGACTATGAAGATGTCCTCTGGAGAAGTTAGTTCTTCTGGTGAATGGACATCTCGTTAAACCCCTCATCTGACCAGCGGTTCAGCTTACAGTGAAGTGCAAAGGACAGGCCTGGTACACAATTGGGATCCTAGTCATGGTTTAAAGAGCAGTATGATGAAGTTTACCAATATGGTCTAAGCTTACTCCTTCTGGGCTGGAGAAGAGTTCCCCCATAGGAATCATACACACACTGTAGGCTCCCTCGTTAAAATCCTATAGTGCTTTGTTAGAATTAAATCCTGGAGTTCTAACTCTCCTGTTTGTTGTTAAGGTTAACAATTATTTACCTCACCTTTCTGAAATCCTGTCACTTTCATAAAAGATGCTATAAAATGATTAGATTGGGTCAGGTATGGTGGTACACATCTATAATCCCAACACTCAGGAAGATGAGGAAAGAAATCAAGAGTTCAATTAGCAAGCATGAGGTCCTGAGTTCAAACCCCAGAACCACCAAAAAAAGGTGTGTGGGGGAGTTTCCAAGACCAACCTGGGCTGCATAGCGAGCCCCTGTCTCAAAAAACAAAAATGGTCAGGTGGCAATATAAAAGATAGTGGTGTTTGAGATGTTTTGAACTTGGTCAGTCTACACTGGGCTCATGATGGGTAGGGCAGGGCATGTGCTCTCTCTCTATGGTACTAGTACAAAATTATGCAAAACGCCCTATGAATTATGTCGTTTTCAAGGATTTGCCTCAGATTTGTACTTTGATATATGAAATGAAAATGAGTATCAAACTTGTTTATGCAGAAGTAAGACTATAGAAAAATAAGTCTGTGTTGCGTATAGTGATACATATTTTATGTCTACCCAATGCCTGTGCTAAACTTTGTGCTTGGCTTTGAATTGTATGTATGTTTACACATGACATTTTTGGAAATAAAAAGAACAACTTAAGGTATGGAAAGGGGTTTTTTTTTTTTTTAATTCTTACCATCTGACTAAGGTGGGGTGTTTCAGACTTTTAGTGTTTTAAATAAAAAGAAAAGAAACTCTTAAGAATTCCAACACACTTTGTTTGGAATGTCCCTTCATCCAGAAAAGCCAGCCACTTCTTTCTGTCCCTTGGATCTGTTGTGCCTGGTGCTCAGTATTAGACTGCAAGCTCCTCCAGGGCTCCTTGCCTTCGCTCTGCGGCACCTGACGGGAAGTGTCTTCACAGGGTTGGAGTGGCGAGGGGGCTCCAACCCATGCTGGACCCTTGGGTTTGAACCAGGTTTCTGGGGTGGACTATCCCATGCTGTATCTTAGAAGTATTTGATCTTTTCCTGAAACTCATGCATTAGTCCTGAACTATTACCTAATATTAAAGCTGAGGCCTCTGGGAAAAATCTGAAGTGGGTAA